ATTAAAAAAATTGGGGGGGAAAAAAAAAAAAAAACTTTTTCCCAAAAAAAAAAAAAAAAATTCCAAAAAAAAAAAAAAAAAAAAATTCAAAACTTTTCCTCGAAACAAATGAGATAAGCGAGAAAAAAAGAATATTTCATTTTTACGTTTTGTTTATCATGCGAAAATATTCCAAACATGAATCCAAACTGAATAATTCGATTGATGGCGACTAAATCGAATCGACTCAAGTATAATTTTTATTCGAAATTGATTCGAACAAATTGGAAAATAAAATGATGAATCTTTATCGTCAAAGAAAATTGCCAAAAAAAAAAGAAGTTATTATGTCATATGATGCACAACAAACAAACAAACAAACAAAAAATGTTGATAAAGAAATAAAACGAATACCCATCGTCAACAAATCATGTCATCAAAGAATGAATGAATAAAAGTCATATGGAAATCAATTTTTTTGTGTCCGTTTTGCTTCAACTTTTATTGAGCTAGATTTTTTCTTTTTCTTTCTTTTTTTTTTTGTAAGTTATTCCGGATAGAATAACTAATATTTTATTATCATTTCATTTATATTAAAATATGTCACTCATAAAAGGTATGCAAAAGAAAAACAGTAAAAAAGGAAGAAAACACACCAACAATTCAAAGCAATTTATAAATGTCCGACAAAATAAAAAACTGGCCAAAAATAAAAAATATCGTTATTTTTTTCCGGGTATGTCCGCGTTTGGTTGTTTGTGTATGTGTGTGTATAATTTCCCTGAATAATTCTTTTTTGCATTTTGGCGCTAAACTAAAATATTTGCCACAACAACAACAATCCAAAACGACGAATAAATAAATTCCAAAACATCACTTGAAAACAAACAGTCAACACACACACACAACACTGCCAGAGAAAATATTTTGGTTGATGAAAACATTTTGGTTGTCGATTTTGATGATGAATTGAATATGGTGGCGGGTATTGGGGGAAAAGCATAAATACAAAATTATTATGATTGTCAATAATAATAAGTAAATCGGGAACAACATATTTGATGTGAAAGAATTTATTTTGCATATTTTTTTCTTTACCAAAAAAAAGAAAAAGGAAAAAAATGAATACCCAAACAACCGAATTTCAATATTATTTTATTTATACACAACACATATTGAGTGTATATAGTGATTTTGATCATTTGTGATTACGATATTTGTTGTTTGTCGGAACGTTGTTTTGCTTCCTTTTCCCAGGAAAAACGCATGTCGATCATCTTTATTGAAAAAAATAATGATACAAAAATATTTTTTCCACACTATCGTCAGAATCAAGAATCAGATCAACAAACAAAAAATCATTATTATCATTTTCAAAAAAATAAAACTCTGGGTGGTCTCTGATCAATGATTTGTATCGATGATGATGATGATGTTTATCATGTTTGATTTATAAACAAACATTTGATTTCAAAATTTTGATAATTTCAAAAACAGCAACAACAACATATTTGAAAAATCTCATTTTAAACAAATAAGTAGAAAAAAATGGGTTTTTTTATTCATGATTTTTATTGATAAAATGGCCAACTGTTTTCTGTTTTCTTCTTCATTTTTTCAAACAATTTTGAATTTAAATTTATTTATCAGCCAAAAAGAAAAAAATTTGAATTTATTTTCAATTTATTTTATCAAAATAAACTTTGTTTATGGAAATAATAACCAGAAAAAGAAAGTATCGGCGAAATAAAAAATCAATCATCGTCAAATACTTTGGATCGTTTTGATGAAAAAATCAATCAATCAATCAATCAATTGATTATTTATGAATTAAAATGTGTGGAGTCAATTTTTTCATCTTGATTACAATAAATATGACAATCGATATGATCAATATGAATTGTATAATAAGTAACCAGGTTAGAAATTGAATGAAATGTTTATAGTATCTTTTTTTTCCCAGTTATTTTTAATTAAAATTGGGTAAAAATGAGTGAGAGAGAAAGAGAAATAGAAAAATAGATAAAAATGTTACTTGATTATTTGATGAATGTCAGCTTCACTGAAATGCATTTTTGTTTTCTTTGTTTGTATTTTTTATTTTAAAAAATGCAAATCAAATCTTACCTCATTTCATGTAGAAAATCCTTCAATGAACAACAACGACGAAGCCAATCATGATGACCGCAGCAAAAAATTCGATTAATTTTTCCACAAAATTTTATTGAACCCGAATTATTTTGTCCATAATTTAGATATGAACATTTAAGATATTCAAGACGCCATTCGGAAAATTTCATTGTTTGAAGAAAAGAAAAAAAATGCAAATTTTTTTCACGAATCAACAGCAAAATAATCCAATCAACATTGATTAAGGGAAAAGTCATGCATAAATTTTACTTGAACAAAAAAGTTATGAAATTTGGAATAGAATTTCACAGAAAAAAAAAATTCTAATTATTTATCGAATCGTCAATGGAATTTTTCAGTTTCAAACTAAATTAAACCAGAAACAAAAAATTGGAGGAAAAAGTAAAAATGAAAAAAAATGTTGACCAATTTTCCATGAAAACACTCACACACAATACACAGAGTAATATCGATTGCGAAGCCAGGAGAAAAAACAAAATAATTTTTTTCGTTTGTCCAGATGAATTATGGTTTTCGATAAAGTGAAATTTTCTTTTTCATTCCATCACTCTCTTCTTCGCTTGTAAATTATTTGGTCATATAATAATAATAATAATAATGAGGACAGAGAAATAACTCGGCAAAGTATTTTCTTGATCATTTCTGGTTTTTTTTTTGGTCCCGAAAGATTGAACCAGGAAAAACAAAATCAAACATGAATGATGATCAAACAATGTAATTGTGTGTGAATGACGATCATGATGGAACATATATGGTTATTTTAATGATAAAAAAAAGAGAATGTTGAAAAAAATTTTCAAGAATCTATCGAACACATCACCATCCTATCATTATTTATCGAATACAATTTTCTCACTTCAAATATCCCAATGTTTTTTTTCCACATTTCTTTTTATTTTTCTTTCATCATTTATTTTGCTCTAGGTCATTGTCTTTTATCAAAAAAGATGGCCAAAAAAAAAAAAAAAAATTCGGACATCGATACGATCGATATCATGATTATCATCGAATGGTAAATGTTAAACTTTTTTTCCCAACCCTATTTAATCATCATTTATTAACACAAACACACACACACCTAAACATCTTATAATGATTTTCAATTTGAATGAATGAAGTGTTTTTTTTTCGCCAAGGCAAAATGTTGTTGTTGTTGTTGTTGTTGGTCTCGATTTATTTATTTATATATTTATAGCGAAACTAAAAAATTGATAAAAACTTCAAAATAAAGATGAAAAGAAGTTTTTTTTTCAATTTTCCTGGATATATCGAACAAATCGTTTATTATTAGGATATAAAAATAGGATGAATCATGTTCTTGCTTGTTTTTTTTTATTCTCATATTATTATTATTTTTTTCAATTATCGAACCTCAAATCTCTGGATCTTGTGTAATTGAAAAAAAAACAATATCCCCTGTGTCAAGAACAATAATAATTTTTCTTTTCAGCTTTTCAACTATAACTAACCATTCAACCATTTTGTGTTGATGTCGATGATGAAACAATCCATTTATTGAAATGGATGAGAGAAAAAAAAAAGAACATTGATTTTTTTTTCACCAAAGAAAATTAATAAATATTGAAAGTAAAATCCCAAAGAGTAAAAAAACTGATTTAATAATAATGAATGGTATCGCCATATAATAACGATGATGATGATGATACAAAATAATTTAAAATTTTTGAAAATAAATAAAAAAATGCTTTTTCGGATTTTATTTGTGACCTCAATTTACTTTGATTTATTTATGTTCATCATTTTTACTTGATGAAATCATTATCAAGTTGAATATAATATTGATAATATAATATTCTTGTATTGAATTTGTGTGCTGTAATAATAGTGAGAATATTATAATTAAAGATCAATTTTTTTTAATAAAGTTTTCTTTTCGTTTGATTAAAAATCATATTTTGTTTGTGTGTGTGTTTGCGAATGTGTGCATTTTAAAGAAAAATCCATCAAAATCAGCGGTTTGCTGTATTATTTTTCCTCGTTATTTTCGTTGTTTTGTTTATCATCATTATCATTGTTATTATTATTATCATTATCATTATCATCATTTAATTTATTTTTATCGGGAATCCAAAGACCCGAAGCAACACATCTTTCCATATGATATTTTGCTTGTTCGGGTTCCAATGTCATTATTGTTTCCTGTAACAATGATGTATCACGTGATTCGAAACATTTTTGTAAACATTCGGGCAATGATTCAAATACTTCTTGTGGATCAAGACCACCGGGTCCAAGTCGTTTTTGTCGTTCTTCTTCTTCACATTCTTTGATTGCTTCTTCGATCTTTTGTTTAGCACGATTGACAATACGTTGTTGAAATGCCTGAATTTCATCGTCGAATGCATCCATATAGGATTTATCAGCTTGCTGTATTCGTGTGAAGAATGATGATACACATCCACGGGGATCGATATTCATCTGTTTACTAAGTTCAAGTATATAATGCAACGAAATGACCTGTTTGGAAACATATTCCATAAGATCGTGTTTTCCTTCAATCTCAAGATTTAGACACCAATATGTTAAATAATTCGATGATTCTTCGCATACTGAATACAAAAACAAAATTTAAAAACAATAAATATGTTAAAATTGAAACCATATTGCATAAGTAGTATGATCGTGACACTTACCAAGATCTGGATTTTGCATTAAAAATTGTTTAGCATCATCAAATTTTGAAATCATAGCATATTCTTTTACTTTATCTTCATATTTTTGTACAAAATCTTTATATCGTTGTTCGATTTCTTCATCGGTCAATTTTGAACGATCTTCACGTGGTTTCGGTTTATTTATGACCGTTTTGCTCCAGCTTTCCTTACTAATAGTATCAACATTCCATGGTGCATTTCGTTCAGCTTTCTCGATCTCTTGTTCACGTTTTTCCAGTTCTTTTTGTTCTAATTGTAATTTCTGCAATTCTTTCTCAAGATTCGAATCAGTTTGTTGTTGTTGTTTTTTACTTTCAATTTCTTGCTTTTTCATTACAACTTCACGTCTTTTCTGTTCCAATTCTTCTTTTTGTCGTTTTCTTTCTTCCATCCGTTCGATACGAGCCTGATGACGCCAACGAAACAAGCTTGCCGTATCGATATTAGGATGGGTGTCATCTTCATCGTCGCTTATCTAATTGATCACGAAAAAACAAATGTTTTAAATGTTGAATATATTCTTGAAAAAATCTTACCATCTACTTACCTCTATATTTTTCCATTTACTATAATCAACCATTCTTTTTGGATGATAATGAATTTATAAATAAAAACCTTAATTACGATATAATTCTTATTTAAAACAAACAAATTAACGAAAAAATAATCGAAATGATTGAAATTTTTTGTCTATCAGCTGCATTCACTCAATCAATTACCATTGGCAATGTAAAAATGTCTGCAGTGTTTACGGTTATCAATTTATACATTGATAGTATATTTAATTTCGTTTAGAGAATATTCGAGAAAATAAAATAACAAGAATCGAATTTATTGAATCAGATTTGTTTAATTTTTTTTTGGTAACAGATATAATGATGATGATGAAAATTGATGAAAAAGGAAAAAAATTATTCATTATTTTAATGATTTTTCAATATCGAATTATAACTAGATTACAATTCACATACATTCACTCTATATATACTGAAAGAACAATTTATGAATGAAATTTTCAAAATTAAAAACAGCTTTTTTAAATATCAGATTAAAATTGAATTCAAAATGTTAAAAAAAACGATGCAACCATGTATAACTACTTTATGTAGGTAATCCGGCTTTTTCACGACAAATTTTCACCAATGCACGTAACATAAATTGTCGGCGACTTAGTTCACGAACATGCTTTATGATTGAAATTTGAAGAAAAATAAATTAGAATTTATCAATTAACAAGAATGAAATTTTTGTAAAATTACCTTAATAAATACATCCAATTCAATGACATTTTTCTGCAAAGCTTCATTCAAATAGAAAATCGTATCGATAATTGCATTTTCTTCAGCAAAAGCATTGAATAATTGTTTATATAATGGTTGTACGGGTCCAAAATATTCATCAATATTCAATTGATTTTCCGATGATTCCATTTTGGCTACTAATTCGGATATCTTTGAATCTTTAGCTTGAATCTTTTCTTTACATTTACTTAGTTCGACCAGATTTGTTTCGATATCTTTGACCAAATCATCCAATTTTGTTCTACCTTTTTTAAGATCATCATCTAGAATATTTAATCATGAAACTTGATATTGAAAAAAAATTTTGATTTAAGAAATAATTACTTGTTCGTTTCAACACATCGATTTCGGCTTTATATTGAGATAGCATTTCTTTGGATCGAGCTTTAATTTTATCTTCAACAGCACTTAATAACGATAGCCGAATATGTTCCTTAGTGATTGTATTGGTGTCTGTCGATGATGATGATAAAGAATTACCACCAGTAGTCGGTTGATTTGTTGATTGACCATAGGGCATAGGCATCATTGGATAAGCAGGATATGATGGAGTATCAGATGGATTAGAAGATGGAGGTGGATAACTGGATGTTGTTGGTTGAACAGGCTGTACGGCAGGATAAACATTTGAAAATGGATATTGGCCAGGAAACCGAGTTGGATATGGTGGATTGGCTGTGCCACTCTGTGGATATCCTTTAATTCAAAATAACAAATAAATTAATTATTGAAATATGTTGAAATAAGGAAAAAATTTACCTGGAGTTTCTGTTGTTTTAGGTTTTGAATAAAGAGGTGGCATATCGCCAAATATAATAATCATAACTTGAATAACTCCAAGTAGATCACTAGCGTTGCGATCCCAATTGGATAGATAAGGCAAATAAACACGGCCATCTTGATCAACGTGTTCTGAAACTTTAATTGTCATATCTTTTGTTGGATTCACCCAACAAATTGGAGCTGAATCTGGATGATCCTCTAACACCCAAATCGATACAGGAATGTTATATACATTTTTTCGATAGGTAATTGGTATTGTACCACGGAGTACGACCAGATCACGTTTAATACCATTTGGTAATGTACATTTTTGAGGATAAGCAAATAGATTACGGTACATCTTCAATACATCGGTTATTTGGCGTTTAGCTTGATCCTGGAAACGATACTAGAATATCGAAGACAATATTTTATTCAATAAAGTAATTTAATAAGGACAAAATTATGATATCAGCAAATTGAATGAACAAACCTTTGCTTGTGAAAGTAATCGTGCTATTTGAAAACTTTCAGTACTCATTTTTTGAATCTAAAAAATTAGATGATGCTCAATTCTGACGAGTCTAGATTTTCGAATTTAGATGAGTCAATTATAGTAAGGATTCACAGAATCAAAGCAATTAAAGAGACAACATAAACAATAATTTGCTGATATTGATATTAAAGCCTTAAAGACGACGACACCAAAAAATATGTAAATTAAGTGTAATTTAATGTGGATATTTGATAAACATCATTGATATGATACAACAGATACTAACAGCTGGGTATTCATCATAAAATTATTTTAACTATTTTCACAAAATCGACCCATTCCTGTTGATATAAATGTTTTGGTTTTTTTTCGAAGGGCGTATTCTTTTTTCACAAAAATTTTCCTTTCTAAATTGAAACCAAAGATTAAAAAAAAACAAATTTTTTTGCGATTCAATTTTAATTATAAAATTTAATACAAAATTAAAAATAAATATTTAAAAAATATTTTGTTTTATATTAGGTAACAAGTTTTTGATTTGATAAAATGGAAATAAAAATTCAATTTTTAAACAATGATTGTTGTTGATATGGATAATTTGAACTCGATGATGATGAGCTTGGTGAAGAGACTAAACGATGACTAATCGATGAGGAATTATGATAGTTAAATGAACCGTTACGTTTATAATGTGGACCGGACACTGCATATAACAGAACGCCAATATCATTATGGCCATTGATCAAAGCAATTTTCAACGCAGTCGAGCCTTCATTATCTTCAATTAATGGATCGCAATCAGAATGTGATAATAATAATGAAATGACTTCAGTATGACCATGTTCAGCAGCACACATCAATGCCGTCGAACCATCATTGTCCTGTAGATTTACTTCAGCACCACATTCAAGTAGAATTTTGGTGATTTCAATACGTCCATGACTAGCAGCCAACATCAATGCTGTTTGACCATTTTGTTTTGCTTTAAGATTGATATCTGCCATTGTGAATAAACGTTCGACAATATCTCTATGCAATTCATTTTCTATTTTAGCCAATGAAACAAGCATTGTTGCCGTATATCCATTCTAATAAATACATTAAGTTATTTATAAAAATAATTTTAATAAGATTCATTGATAGCATACCTTATTAAATTTATTAACATCACAGACTTTGGAATCCAAAAGAATTGAAACGATATCAAAGTTATTGTATGAGATAGCATAATGTAAAGCGGTGTTGCCATTTGGATCAGCTAGATTAACTAACCATTCAAGTAATTTGGTTGTATAAAATTTTTCAACAAAATCAAGATATGATTCAACAGCATGAAAATCCGAATCCACCGATGATGATGTTCGAAACCAATTTTTTCCAACGACAGCCATACTTTTCGACTGTTATTTTATTTAAAAAATGGATTAAATGAATTATAAATTGATTATAAAATTAATTACAAACTTACAAAAAGAAGCGGACATTTGGGTGGCGAAAATAGATTTTCATTCATTATTTTTAACGCCGCTTTTAATTCACCGGTAGCGACAAACAATTTCTTATTTGATGATAATGGTTGTTGTTGTTGATTTTTATAATCTTTGTTCGTTGTATTCGATAGTGTTGAAAAGGCTGACTCACTTTCATCAGATAATGGTATGCTTTCGAATTCAGTAGATGATGAGATCATTCGCAAAATCATATTATCATTATTAGTTTTATCGTTTTCATTCATCATATGATCCTCAATATTTGATGATGGGGATAACAATGGAATAACATTTGATCTTCCGGTCATTTTTGGATCGACCGATATTCCTGAATCTGACTTTAGCATTCGATTTGTACTGCCAATCGCAGATGAAATTGTTGAAGTAGTTGTGGTTGTTGAAACTGAAGTCACAGATGTTGGCGATGATAATGGTGGTGATGATGAAGATGATGATGATGATGAAATTGAACCGACTAGATTATTATAATCAACATTACCACCACCATTGTTGGTTTCATTTGTGCCACATTTATTACATAAACGACGACGTCTTCGAACAACAAATTGGCTAGGTAAACAACCGAGTATATCTTTAGCAATATCATTAGAATTTGTTATATTTGAATGTGGATGAAAATCATTACCATCATCAAGGCTTGTAAAAAGTTGCAATGGGCTTGATGGTCTTGGGTTATGACAATGACGAAGTACTTCGATTGATGAAGATTCATCATCAGCAGATGACGTATCATTATCATTATCAGTTGATCTAGAAATTTTATCATGTTGAACATCAACAGTCGAATCGATATTGCTGGCCATATTACTATGATCATAAATTTTTTCTCTAGTGATGCCGTCACATTGATCAGTAATAATCAGATTAATATCAGTTATGGTCGATGATTCCATTGTTTCAACAATCGGTCGAATATCTTTACATTTGAGATCAGTCTGTACAAATGCATTACGATATAGAACACAAGGAGCAAAATTGGTTAATGTTCCGATATGACAACGTTTTGATGGTTCAACATTGAATGTTTCGAATTTAATCAATGATAATTTTTCCATTTCTTTCGCAACTATATAGAAAAGAAAAAAAAGAATCATCATAAATCAATAAAGATTAACCCATTTATGACAGATCAAAACAACAAACAAACAAAAAAAAATGTATTTATTTATAAATAATAACCAAGCATTAAAAATAATGTCTTACCATCATCATAATCATTATTGCCATTTATCTTTGTTTGATCGATTGTTTCCGCCTCGGGTAATTTTGCCGAATCAACATTGGAATTGTCGACCATTTCTTTTTCATTTTGTTTGGTTGTTAATTTTTCCATCAAAATCAATCGTTCAGATTCTAATTCGGCCAATCGTTTTTTCAATATTGGTATTTGTTCAACTTGATTTTCAAGCTCTTTAACTCGTAATAAACTTTGTGCTAAATCATTACGTATCTGTGTTAATACAGATTTAGATAATGTTGTTGTTGTTGTTATCAATGATGAACATGATGATTCTGATAACAATTGAGGTATTATTTGATGATGATTATTTAATTCTTCTTCCTGTTCTTGTTGATAATGTTCGATTGCTGTATCGATTGTAGCAATAGCAATACTAACAGATATTTTATCTTCATTATCAATAGATGAAGAAAAGTTTGTCGATTTAGAATGTAATGATTCGTTAGAAATTTGATTCGATTGTTGAAAATCTTGTTCCATTTCATCCAAATCAAGTATATCATTCTGATGATTAATCTGTTGTTGATCATTATTATTATGATTATTATCAATGAGATATTCATCATTTGGTTGTTGATAATTTATTAAAGACGGTGATGGAGTTGTTGTTCTTGTTGATGCTGATCGATTATCATTATTATTATTATTATTATTTAAATGTTGATAATTTTGATTAGAATTTTGTCCATATAAAGCCGATAATAATGCATCACAATAACGAACAAAATCGGTATCAATATGAAAACCATATGGACAACATTTACATGGATAATTTAAATGTTTATTATTATCACAATTATTTTCATTATCAAAAATATTATTGTATTCATTTGATTTATCCATTATCATATTATTATATCAAAGATTTGAAGAAAACAAAGACGAAGATGATGATGATGATGAAAAATTCGATGAAAAAATTTGTTGATTTGTCGATTAGTGAGAAAAACTATTTCAATTTATTTGATTTGATGATCATTACATTACATGTTAATTGGAATGAGAATCTGTGAATTTTTTTTCGAAAAAAAGAAAGAAAAAACATTCAAAATTATTATCATAATTCAAAAAAAAAAAATTGATTCGACGTTCATTTTCTATAGAACACACTGAAAGAGAAAGAACATTAACAATAACAGATGTGTAAAAATTGAATTTCCTTTTTTTTCAATGTTAATCGATATTCACAATATTGGGGAGAAAAAAAACAACCACACATCAACCATATTTACAGACACATATGGATAACAAATAAAATGCCATTCACATCGTTATTCAATACATCAATATTGATGATAATATTTTTTTTCTCAAACGACAATCAAAACATTTATTGTGACTATATTTATTCGAATTGAATTTTGGAAAAAAAACATTGATCTCCTACGCAAAAGGAAAAAAACACCAATCAAATCAAATCAAATTGAATAAAATTATGATGCAGAGACAAATATATAAAGTTTGAGAGAAGGATTTAATCCTAATTATATAAGAAAGATATATCTTAAAAAAAAAATTCAAAAAAAGAGAGAAAAATTTTCATTTCGGTGAAAAAAAAATTTACCCATTCTATCGATAAGATGTTTGTTGACAAATTTCAATGGATTTTTCTCTTAAATAATGTAAAATTAATAATTAGATTTATGTGAATGTTAGACAGGATTGTGAAACAAAACAATTACAACAACGTCATCAACCAGGTAAAATAAAACAATAGATTTTGATCCAGAAACAAAAACCAATTAGTAACAAATAGACAAACAAAAAGGGAAATTAACATGACTTTTCGACAGCAAATAAAATCAACACATGACAAACACTTTGTCGCATTTACCTGGAGTGAGTGTAGGAGAGAGAGAAAACATGAAATAAAAAATCAAAGAAAGAAAATGAAATAATCAACCAACCAGGCAAAATATCAATCAAACACAAACACATAGACTAACATCGAGGTAAATGGTGAACCGTTTTGATACATATAATTATTATCGTCATTAGGAATGTAGAAAATCTATGACTTGCGTGTCACCAAAAAAAAAACTAAAACAACAACAACCAAAAATCAACAACGAAATGATAAGAAATGACAAACAAACAAACAAACAAAATAAAATCCAATCCTATACAAGAGGATTTATAAATTGGAAAAAAAATGATTGGCACCAAACAAAAGTAAAGAAGAAGAAAACAAAAAATCATTGAAAAATTTATTAATTTACTTTTTTTTTCTCCTGAAGTGATAATCAATGATGATGATGATAAATTAGTAATCATATCTTATATAGACAACAACCAAAGCAACAAATTAAAATTGATCGATAAAATTTTTTTTTGTTAAAGAATACATTTTTATTTCTAATATATAGATTGATCCATTCCTGATATATCAAATAATTTCAAATTTCCGTTTATTCATTCATTATTAAAATTTCTATGTCAAATGGAAAAAAATATATATCATCTCGATGATTATGATTACAATTTTCTATGTTTAAAATAATTTTTTGGAAAAATTGTTCAAACGACAAAGAAAAAACAAATGAAACAAGAAGAAAAAACAAATATTACAATGGGATATATTTATTTTTGACTAAATTTTTACGCGTGTGTAGGTTTGACAATGGATATGTTTTTTGTTGTTGAAATTTCTTAAAATGAAAAAACAAACAAACATAAATTTTCTTTAAACTAGATAGATAAATATCAATTGATGGATATATATGACCATTGGTTATATTGTTGGTGAGATAATGATGATGATGAGGATAAAAAAAGATGATCATAATGATGATATTATCATGAGATGATGATGATGATGAGAAATACACACAATGAATTTCTTTTCGTAAAAGTAATAAACCGTTAGTGCAAATGAATAAAATGAAATGAATCATTCAAGCCATTGACCGACCGAAAATCACAATCACAATGATGATGATGATGGTTACAATTGAAATTTGAAACGAAACAAAAAAAAATTTTTGGGAAAATTGAGAAATGGGAATTTTTTTCTCTCTCTCTCTCTTCATCCATCCTTTTTTCACATACACACAGAAAAAAAATTTATTTAAATTTGGAATTTGAATCAGGATTCTTTGGGTAATCATCATCATCATTGTTGTTGTGGTTGTTGTTGCATAACATCAAGAACAAAAAAAAAACAAGTGAAAAATCATTCAAGCATCTCAATGTTGTGCATGAAATATTACAATTACGGAAATATTTCGGTAATGGCAGGTAAAATAAATATAAAAAAAACAAGATCAAATTGATCAATGATTCGGTTAGACAAACAAACCAAACGAATATACCACCAATAGTCAAAATTTTAATGATTGAAAAAAAAATTCGAATGAAATCAAAAATTGCGCGCCAACCATTTGAAAAAGAACAAAAAAGAAACACCAAAATAACCAAATGTGATATATGTAGGTGAATATAGTGTGTATTATCAATCGAATGAAATTTTTTTGCAGACAAACAAGAAAAAAATAGAATACACTAATTATGGGACGGATAATTTTCGTTGTTGTCCGTTGTTTTTTGAATGACAATGATGATGATGATAATAACCGGTCAACCGAGAAAAATAAAACACCCAACAAATGAAAAAAATACCTGGTTCATATAAGATTCATTGAAACATTGCAAAGTACAACACAACCACATAAAAGACAATTTTAAAATGATTTTTTTTTGTGAAAAAAACGAGAGATGTGTATAGAGAATTTTCGACAACAACGAACAAAAAAAAAAATTTATTGTATAATATTACCCGAGATGATGAGATCATCATCATTGTATAACACACCCGGATAGAGTTTAAAAAAGAAGATAGAAAAAATGATGATGATGATGAAATGAATACCCGAAACCTGTTTTTTTTGTTGTTGTTTCTTTATTTCATTTCATTTCAAACCAAAGATAGATAATCAGACAATGGATCGTTACGATTCGAATCAATGATTATCTTGATATTTAATGTAAAAAAAATGTAGTAATGGGTAGTGTGTGTGTGAGAGAGAGGGGAAAAATCGAACGATTCGGGATATACCCATAGTGTTATTACAAACATGGGGGTAATATTCGAAAGAAAAATTCGGGTTATTATCGTGATAAACAAATTACAAAGCATTGTATAAATGATGATGCAATTCATTTCAAATTAATTTGATTAATCACTTTTTGTCATAGGTTTGTTTTATCTTTTTAAAACAAAAACCAACAACAACAAAAAAAAATGTCTGCCTCTCTTGAACATTTAAGAAAATTGATTATCATTAATGAATGAAGATTCATTCTTCCTTAATCATAAATTATTATTTCATTTGACATAACTTACCTTTCTTTACATATGATGATAATTGGAAACTAATTTTGAATAGATAGCCCGGTAAAAGATTAATGAATTTTTTTTTTCTTTTCAAAAAAAAAAATTCTTATTTCATTATTGTTTGTAGTGATTGTCGGATTGTTGGTTTTTGTTCCGTTCGGAAAATCAAAGTAGGGTTACATCACAAAAAAAATTGGTGATTTTTAAACAAAAATCAAATCAAGTGAAACAATTTTCAAAATTATAAAATCATTTTTTTTTACTTTTAAAAAATTAAATTTGACATTGGTGGTAATCAAAGAGCTGCCATTCGGTAAATGACTCACACACACACCACACTCGAAACCAAACACAGATTTTTTTTTTTTTGAACAATGGAATATTGGACATTTTACCATTGTTATTGTGATGATGATGATGATGATGTTTAGAATCCAGGTGTGTATGCAACAAGTAGTGGCATGAAATTTCATTGAAAATTTTTTTTTTTTTTTGAAATATTTTCTTCAAAAACAAGTTTATACAATGAAAGTAATTATCATGACAATAATAATAGAGCGCGCGCATATTTTTTCCACTTTTTACACATGTATGAGTTTTTATTATTATTATTTTTGGTTTTCGGTAATTCGGGTTTTGTTTTATTTTCTTTTTTCTAAATTGACCATTTATTTTGGTTGAAAATTATTAAATTATAAATGATGACCAATGTTAAAACTGAGCAATCATCATCAACAACAACACCATCGATATCATCATCATCGAATCAAGATAATAATAATAATTCAACAGCGGTGACTGTATCAAGTGATAAAAATTCAACAACAACAAATAATAATGATTCGCAAAATAATCTACAACCTACACCTGGTAGCCTAAAAAATGTTAGTGATCGTGTATTGATTGCTAAAGCAAAACTGGTCGAATCACCATACGATTTGGATGCATGGAATATTCTTATCAAAGATGTTCAGGTAATTCGAATTCGAAATGTCAAAATGAAAAATTCTAAATCCATAAAAATTTTAGAATAAAAATCCAGAAATTGCTCGTGAACTTTATGAACAATTGGTCAGTCAATTTCCAACATCAGGACGATTCTGGCGTTTAAGTATTGAACATGAGATCAAATCTAAAAATTATGAACGTGTTGAAAAGGTGTGTTTGTGTTTTTCTAAATATTATTCATCATTTAATTTTCAAATGATTTGATTGGATAAAAATTGTAGCTTTTTCAACGTTGTCTGGTCAAAGTTCTTAACATTGACCTTTGGAAATGTTATCTTAATTACATAAAAGAAGCTAAATATCATCTACCGTCTTTCAGAGAAAAAATGGGTCAAGCATTCGATTTTGCATTGGAAAAAATGGGCATCGATATCAATTCATATTCAATCTATAATGATTATGTTCAATTTCTTAAAGGTGTTGATGCACAAGGTAGCTATGCAGAAAATCAAAAAATATCGGCCGTTCGTCGTGTATATCAACGTGGTATAGTCATACCAATGTTAAATATTGAAACATTTTGGAAAGAATATCTAGCATATGAACAAAGTATTAATTCAATGTTTGTCGACAAAGCCATTGCCGATCGTTCCAAAGATTATATGAATGCTAGACGTGTAGCGAAAGAATTCGAAGCAATTACTCGTGGTCTAAATCGGAATGCACCGGCTGTACCGCCACAATCAACACCAGAAGAAAATCGTCAGGTAGAATTATGGAAAAAATATATTCAATGGGAAAAACAGAATCCATTAAAAACCGAAGATGTTACATTAGTCATCAAACGAGTTGTATTTGCATATGAACAATGTTTATTATGTTTAGGACATCATCCGGATATTTGGTATGAATATGCGTCATATTTAGATGAAAATAGTAAAATAATGGCCGAAAAAGGTGATATGAACCATCATAAAGCTCTACAAGAAGATGTGGCATCCGTTTATGAACGTGCAACATCCACATTGTTAAAAGAGAATATTCTTTTACATTTTTCTTACGCTGATTTCGAAGAGGTAGGAAATCATATCATAAATATATATGATTTGACTATATTTAGAAAAAGGATTTTTTTTTCAAAAAAAAATCGAATTACTTTTTCTCTTAAATTTTTTATAATCATATCGATTTTGGTGTTGATTTTTTTTATGATTTTCATTATTTATATATGGTCAACAAAATTATTTTGTTTTTTTTTTTTGGTTTCAGTCTCGCAATCGAAAAGATGAATCTATTAAAATTTATGAAAAATTACTTCGAATCAAAACGGCTAGTTTCAATCCAACTTTAACTTATATACAATATATGAAATTTACCCGTCGTACCGAAAGTATGTCATCGGCAAGGGCAATATTTAAACGGGCCCGTTCCGATTCTCGTTCAAGTTATGAAGTGTATATAGCCGCTGCCATGACTGAATATTATTGTAGTAAGGTAAGTCGTTATTTCGTAAACATAAATGAAATGATTGCATAATTTTTCAAATTTATTATTAATCATCTACTACAACAACAACAAAACACACACATACAGAATATAAACATTTCCTGTAAAATATTTGAATTGGGATTGAAACGATTTCCACATGAGGCGCCATTCATATTAGCATATATTGATTTTTTAGGCCATCTAAATGAAGAGAATAATATACGTGTATTATTCGAACGTGTACTATCATCGGATACATTTCCAATATCGAAATCTTTGTAAGTATAAAAATAATGATGGTAATAAAAATCTGATTATTGATTTCAAATATTTGTTTGTTGTTTTTTTTAAATATTGATAATTATAATGTTTGTAATGAAGAGAAATATGGAATCGTTTTCTAGAATTTGAATCACAAATAGGTGATTTAGCCAGTGTTATTAATGTAGAAAAAAGACGATCTAATGTGATTGAAAAACTTCAACAACAACAGCAACGAAATCATTCTGAAACAGCATGGCTAGTTGATCGTTATAAATTTCTTCATCTAATGCCATGTTCACAAGAAGAATTAAAATCGATTGGATATTTTAATATAAATCCATCAGCTGCATCATTATCTTCATCATCATTATCGTCATCATCATCGACAATTAAAGAATCGATGGTCAATGGCCATCAATCGAAAATGTCAATGTCTAATGATCGTACATCTATAAATCAACGCCATAATTCACAACATTCGAAACAATCATCGATTCCTGTACCGAATCTAACACAAATGGTACCATTTAAACCTGTACAAAATCCAGTCAATAATTTAATGCCGGGAGGTATTTTTCCTTATCCACCATCGGTTACATCATTATTATCACAATTACCACCTCCATTGAGTTTTCGTGGTCCATTCGTTAATATTGATGAATTGATGTCATTGTTTAAAACATCACCTGCCATTTCATTTTTAACCGATCCAAGTAAAACAAATTGTCTGATGCCTACCGAAGCTAAAGCCTATTTTGCATTAGCACTTGAAGCTACTGATTCATTTAATTTTGGTAACGGTATCGTAAATAATACTGGTTCATCTGGTACAAAACGTTCAGCTGGTCAAGCAATGTTAATGGATGAAGATGATGATGGTGATGGTGAAGGATCGAATTTAATGCCACCACAATTTGATATTTATCGATCACGACAGATGCATAAAAAATCAAAAAATATGTAAAAAAACAAATTTCATTGAAACATTTTTCATTTTTTTAATCAAAAAAAAAAAACAATTATTTCTTGTTCGATATTGAACGATATTATGATGAGATTTTTTATAAAAAAAAACATTTTGTAAAATTATAATTTGTGAAACAAATTTTTTTTTATTTAAATTTATTGATTTTGGTTTGGTTTTGGGTGTAATAATCATATACCACAGTTTTTATTTCAAATCAATGAATGAATGAACGAACGACGTTATTTGATGATAACTGAATTAGGGAGAAATATTTTTTTTTTTGTTCAAGAAAAAATTTTAAATATAATTATTATTAGATGCTACCAACATGTGAATATTATTAATTTTTCAGTATACTTTGAAAGGGGTGTTTTAAAATTTTAAAATTTTTTTTCTCCGTCAAAAAAAACAAAACAAAACAAAATTATAAACCAACGAATTGTGCGTGAGAGTGAGGAGAAAAAAATTACTGCGATCCAAAAGACGTCAGCATAGATTCCGGTGTACGACCAAATCGTAAGAATGTTGTTTCTTCACCACGTTTACTACCACCACCACCATTAATGTTATTAAAAAGATTATTGAATCTTGTTGAAGGATTCATTTTCAATGGCCAACTAAGACGACCAAATCGTAAAAATCCTTGTGAAGAAGTTCGCCGCTTATTTTGTATCGAACGTATTGGTATTATATTCCGTATTTGATCTATTCCCGAATCAAGTATTCCATTCACATTAACTGCTTGTTTAAACAGGAAAAAAAATGATTGATCATTAAATAAAATATTCATTTCAAACATAAAAGTAATAAAAAATTGATTAAAGAAAAAAAAAATGAAGAAAATTTATTGACTACCTGATGATAATAATGGATTTTGTTGCTGTTGATGATGATTATGATGATGAATGGCATTCGATGTAATAATTGGATAATTCAATGGTTTTTGATGTTGGCGGAATTCCCTGTTGGCTATATCATCCGAAATAATTAATGGCAAATGTTGATCTGATGATGATGATGATGATGATGATGATTGTATTGGTTGTTCATATAATAATTTTGATGATTTTTGTGGTGATTTCATTGGTATTCGAAACATATTTGATTTCGTAATATAATCGATAAAATTGAATGGTTGAATACGTTGATCTTCAATATAAAGATTGCTATTTTTATTATGATGATTATTATTATTATTATTATTATTCATCATCATCATTGCAATCAAATTTTTTCTATCATTTATATCTGCATTATGTTTCATTAATAATGAATTTGTTGAAAAATTATGATTAATATTGTTGACATTATTATTATTATTATTATTATTATTTTCATCATCATCATCATCATCATCGAAACCATTTGAAACAACAAGTACTTTTGATTCATCTAGTCGGTTATTATTATTATTAGTAATATCATTATCATTTTGATAATCGGTTATAATATCATTGATATTACCATTGGAAAAATATGGAATTTCAAAAATCGATGATGGTAAATTTTTTGAACGTTGTTGTTGATTCATTCTAATCGATTCCGATTTAATTCCGTTTGCCAATGATGATGTTGATGATGATTGTTGCGGTTGTTGTCGATCAGGCAATGATGTTATTATTTTTGTTGTTGTTGATGATGATGGTAAACATTCAACAATAACATTATTGAAATGATATTGACATAAGAAACAAATTGTTGTTAGTATCAATATGAAATGATGATTCCTATTTTGTTGTTTACGTTGATGATGTTGTTCAACGGTAAATAACGGATATTTGTATCGTATCGAATTCATTATTATTATTATTATTATTATTTTCTAAATAATAATTTCCTGTCAAATCCGGTTATTCGATGTATTTTTTTTGTAACTTCAAACAATGTTTTCGTTTAACCAAACACACGATGATTTATGAAGAAGAAAAATTGATAGAACCAAGTGCAAATACTGAATAAAAAATCTATTTTCTTTCTTGAAAAATAAAAGAGAAACATCAAAAGAAAAAAGTTTTAAAATAATGAAAAATTTTGTTTTTTGAATATCATCACTGCATTTTATATGAACAAGATGATGATGATCAGTTCTTCCCTTACGAAATGTAATGTAATAAATAATTAATTTCTAATAAGATTTATTTATATAGAATCAATTTTTTTCTTTCGTTTATTTTTATTCTGGTTTTCATCTTTGTTAAATAAACATTCAAAAAAAAAAAATCAAAAGTGCAGAGCTTTTTTCATCGATCAATACCGATGAAACAATATTGAATGAAAGGGGAAAATTTAGCCCGAAAGAATATAAAAAAAAATGTGAAACAAATGTATCAAACTAAATAGTTTCGATAATGCTTCCGATTAAAAAAAAAAATAATGTATAACGCTAATGTTTTAGCAAAAAAAATATATTCATTTACCTTTTTTTCTTCTTCTATAGAAAAAATAATAAACAACAGCATCAAATATAATTCAATTATTAACGATCAATGAATAGTTCAATCTACATTGTATTCAAAACAAACAAACAAAACAGATGATAATCCATAGGGTCGGATCAGTTTGCTTGGTTTTTTAAAAAAGATATTTCATACATACGGGAAGAAAGCAATTTTTGTTTTGGTTTCAAGAATTCAATTTCAATTTTGCATATTGAAAAAAACAGACAAACAAATCTGTAACAAGATGATGATGATGATGATGATAGAAAGTAAATTCAAGATGTCAAATTGATCAAATTTTTTCAGGTTTGAAATACTTTTGTTGAATGATCAATTTTAAATTTTTTTCTTGATTATTTCAAAAAAAAATTTTCATCACATTATCATCATCATCAACATCATTTAAAAAAAAAAATCTTATCCATTTCTATAACTACATATAGTATTTATAAATGTTTGAAAAAAAAACATCATCAGATGCGCATTATCAATTCGGGTTACAAGATTTTTTTTTAATATTTCCGCACACATCTTTCATTTTGTTGACCAATCAAATTGTATGAATTTTTTTTCTGGTTTATCATCATCATCATCATTCTATGAACAAACCAAGCAACAGTAAGTAAGAATATAGCTGCGCCTGACATGTTTGTATAAGTAAATCATTCAAAAAAAAAAAAAAAAATACCGAGATGGATAAATGTCAGTTATTATGTCAGAAACATAATGATGATATCTATTTTTTTCTTCTTCTTTGGGGGATNAACATCATTTTTAAAAAAAAATCTTATCCATTTCTATAACTACATATAGTAGTATTTATAAATGTTTGAGAAAAAACATCATCAGATGCGCATTATCTATTCGGGTTACAAGATTTTTTTTTCATTTCCGCACACATCTTTCATTTTGTTGACCAATCAAATTGTATGAATTTTTTTCTGGTTTATCATCATCATCATCATTCTATGAACAAACCAAGCAACAGTAAGTAAGAATATAGCGGCGCCTGACATGTTTGTATAAGTAAATCATTCAAAAAAAAAAAAAAAATACCGAGATGGATAAATGTCAGTTATTATGTCAGTAACATAATGATGATATCTATTTTTTTCTTCTTCTTTGGTGGATTATCATTAATTAAATAGCAAATATTTAATTAAGAATTCTAGAATATTTTTCTTTAAAAAAAAACTTTATGATTCTCTTCAACTTTTATCGCCACATCAGCATCGTCACATAGAATTTTTCTTTTGCCCATCATCATTTCATAATGTAAATGTGCTTAAATATAGATGTGATTATAGTAGATGTCGAACATTGATGAGAAAACACAGAAAAGATTAGTTCATTGTTGATTTTGTATGATTTTTAGTTTTTTTGTTTGTTCGTTCCAGGTTTTCTTCTTCATAAATTTTCCAATGATTCTTGTTTGTTTTTTTTCTCCATTTCTTTTGATGATTATGATGAATTTCATCAACAATTTTCCAAATATTTCCTCTTTTTTCGAAATTTTCTGATGAAAAATCCAAATTCCATACATTAAATATTATTATCCTGAATAAATAAATAGGAAATTCTTTATTTTTTTACGAATTTAAAATAAAAAATTAATTAATGGAATTTTTCTCCAAAAGACATTATAATTTTTGTTGTTGTTGTTTTACAAGTAAAGAAAAGAAATCTTATTTAAAATTAACCTGAAAAAAAACAAAAGGATGATGATAATGATAATGTCAAACATGAATGTATCATGAAAAAAATTAATATAAAATCAACTGAAGAACTAAAAAAAAAGCTTAAATCAGCTTAAACATTGAATTCTGATGTTGGTTTTAAAGTGAAAAGTTTTTTTTTGTGTTCCGAGAAAAAAAAACAACATCTTCAAATATAAAGAATATTACCGTCCAAAGTTTATTTTTTTTAAAAAAAACATACCCACACACAAACATGAAAAATTAAATAACGTAAAATATAAAAAAAATACGAATTCAGCAAAATTATTTGGCCTATAAGATTAGTGAAGAAAACAAAAATCAAGTTAAAAGTTTTTTTTTTGCTTACTTGTTCAATCAAAACAGCCGAAAAACCATAATGAACTTGTTTTATTCAATTTTTTAAATTTAGTTCCAACGACGGTGTGTGTCCATGGTCCACCAAAGCCCAAGAATTAATTTAATAAAAATATTTGTCGTAAAGAGAAGAAAAAAACTTTCATTCGTTTGAATTAATTGATCGTCGTTGTTGTTGTTGTTCTTTTTAAAACAAATAAAAATTTTTGTCACATCGTAATTTTATGACGATGACGACAACGATCATTATGATTAAATCGGTAATTTTAGCATATTTTTTTCAATTCCAAGAAGATAATATATCAACGATTAATTGAAGCAGAACAAAACAAGTAAAATCATTTTGTCAAATTAATTGTTTTCGATGTTTGCGAATGAATAGATTCGAATGAATTTCAAATCCGGTCACGTCTTTTATGAATCTTTTAATAAATTCGAATTTTCGAATATTTTTTTTCCTTATTTTTTTTTTTTGCTGTTTTCGCTCTTTCAACAATCTCAGATGTGTTGATATGGATTTCAAACTTGAATAATTTTTCTTCATGTTAAAAAAGAAAAATTTTCCGTTTTTATTTCAAAAATTTATTTTTTCATTCAAAAATTATAATTATTGTTTTTTCATATCATTATTCTCTATGTTTTTTGGTTTGTTTTTCTTGTTTTGGGTGAAAAATAATTAATAATCAAAGAAATTATGGAACGTATGTTATCATATTGTTCGACACCATCGGCAGCATTGATCGATGATCATCAATTTGATCATTCGCAATCAACATGTGAATCGATTGATGGATTTTTAAATTTCGATAGAAATTTTTCCGATGATGGTGGTGGTGGTGAAATTGTCGATAATCAACATTCATTGGGTAATCTAGAAAAAGGTGTCGATCATAGTTATTATTCCGAACAAATTAATTCTTTAGTGGCTCAATGTAATCAATATCAAAACGTGATCAAACGTCAGGAAAATGAAATTGATTATTATCGTAAACATATTGAAAGCCTTGAAGATGATTTCTCTCGTATGAGCTCATCATTGGCAGCGGCTGAAAAGAATGTAAATCAATATAAGAAAAAACTAACAAATTATGAGCAAACAATTGATTCGCTTGAAAATGAACTAGAAAATATTCATTCAAAAATATCACCATCATCACAAAGTCTTAGCTTAACCAATGAAATCGATTTCAAGGTATTTTTCATTATTAATTCAAATAAAATTCTTAATCTTATCATCATTATTATATAGATCGACAATCATGATCAACGAAATTTTACTTGGTCAACAACTAATCGATCATTCAATAATGTCAAAGATAAAATTTCTGATCATGATCTGGATAGTTTGTTATTGTCGATGAAAAAATTCTTTGATGAAAATATCGAACTGAAATCACAAATTGAATTAATGAAAAATGAAATTGAACGTCTTAAAAAAGATAATGAAGATTATCGTTTACAATTGTCGGATGGTTCTAATTCGAAATTTCTACTTCAAACAGGTACTGATCCTGTTGATCGCTATAGAATGTCTACGCCCATCAAAAATTTCATCTCATATCAAGCGCTAAATATTCCTGTTAACAATTCATTCAGCATAGATGAAGATTATGAATGTGATAATATGATTTTTGATGATAATTTTAAACATTTCAATTTTTCTGCTATGGCTTTTGCAAATTTTGGATGTAAAAACCAAAATCAACATAATACCGTCGAAAACAGTCTTAGTGTTTCACGATTACCATCAATTGATTATATCGAAAACGAAGAAATGCCTTCTCGTATGGTTCGAGGCGATGACATATCGACAGTGGTTGGCGAAAAAATCGTCAAAAGTCCCTTATTAATCGATTCAACATTAAGCCTTTGTGATATTAGTAATATTGAAAATCAAAAATTGCCAAGATCACCGATCGCTGACCTTGATTCTACTTGTTTTAGTGACTATAGTGAACCGCAAATCAGTTCAACAACTACACATGGTGGACAGTTGACGATTTACGATATGAACGGAAATCATGAATCGCAACTAGAAAATGACAAACAGCAATTGCAAATGAATCAAAGTTCAGTGGAGATAAAATCAGAATCGCAAAAAAACAAGCAAATTTTTCCAGGAAAACCATTGTTCATATCGTTTTTCTTTTTAATCTATTCAACATTCATTCATGACTTAAAACATAAATTGTTAATCACAAAGTTTCGATTGATATTATTATTGATTATTTCTATTTTCTTTGTCTCATATAAATGGACAAGAAAACCTTTTTATCGATTTGATCAAAAAATTATTGAAACACGATTAATACCATTCTATTCGATCGAAGAAATTTTCATTGAATTATTGACACAATTTGGATTTATTGGATAGGGTTAAAATTCATTTAATTGGTTAGAATGATTTAATCTAATCTGTAGAAAAAAAAACATTAATTCTATAAACATAAACTAACTTTGTATCTAATCACGACTATTATTTTCTCTTTTACTATCGTATTTGTGTATATTTGTACACATACGCAAAGATGCGACAATAAATCTATGTGTTATAATATCATCTTAATCATCAACTTGAATAAAAAGAAAACAAATTTGAAAATGGAATTTTTGTTTTTAAAAAAACTGATAAAAATCACATTGAATAAAATTGCCGGCTGATGGTTATGATAAAATGAATGATATTTGATATTAAAGATTACAAAGTCTATTTTGAGTGTGCGAACAATATTATCGATTATACATACAAATAACAAAATCAATTTTTGTTGCTGTTTTTTTTAAAATTATAATAATTATAAATTTAAATATAAATTCCATGGACAAAAATGAAAACGGAAAATTTTGGAAAGACATTTACAAACAGGCATAACGGCTTTGTGTTTTGGCCGGACGTTGTTTGTTTGTTTGCGTATGTATACAATCTATAAAGTACGACCAGTTATTGTATGCGATGTTAAATGATCACCACTACCGCCACCACTAAATGTTTCAGTTTGGAAAAATTTATGTTGATTATCAATCATATCGATTAATTCATTCGCCGATGGAATACGGCCGGTTGTTAATTTTGACCAAATTGGAACATCTGTGTTTTTTTTGGGAAATAAAGAAAAATGAATTCAATATGATGAATTAGATGATAAAATCTTACCATTGTAAAATATTTCAAATGCTCCGCTAGACATTAATTGACTTTCCAATGTATTGGAAAGGAAAAACGTCATCATACAGGCATACAATTTATGTTGACGCATCCATTCCCAAAATTGTGGTGTTTGTAAACCAAAATAAGCAAAAGGGTTAACATTAGCCACCAACAAGGCAATGACAATCATTTTTGTAATTGATATTAACTGAGCAAGTTTACTTTTTAGAAAGCTTGGATTATAATTTGAACCAATAACAGTTAAATCAGGAAATTGATCCATAATCATTTTACGATATTCATCAAATGCTCTTTGGTAACCGCATGAATAACAATAAAGAATTTTTATTGTTGGCATTTGCTGTCGGAATGACATGGATGGAATTTCTTTTTTAACAGAATCGATTGCATCCGCTTGTGATGATGGCTGATAAGATTTGAAGAATAAATCTCTTGCAGTATATGCAACAAATATGGCAAATATTATGAAACAAATGTTACGATCCATATTTATTAATCAATAGAAAAATGATGGATCAATTCTTGATGTAAATTATAATGATTATGATAGTTTATTTGATGACATGCAAAAAATTAAACGAGTATTATGATTGTAAAATGAAATTGCAAAAAGAAAAACCGCAACATCAAAACAAACGATTGTTTTTAGCTGTTTATACGTTTTAAATATCTCTCATGGCTAATGGATGACAAGTTTATACCTTGAAAAATGACTCAATTGTCGCGCTCATCTAACACAAATAATTTTTCAATTGTTAAATCCAACATCTTGATATTTTGATGATAATAATGGATTCAAACGATATCTGGGCCAATTGTAGTGATGAAGAAACTTATTATGAATCGAATGTTCATTATCGATTACATCCATCCAATCGAAATGTACGATTATGGGAACCATCAGGCGTGGATATTGTAACCCTATATGAACAAATCAAAACGAACGGTTATGTTGAATTAGAATGGAAATGTCCAGGACGGATATCACCATCGCAATTAACCGATGATCAACAAATGAATGAATCGAATGATGGAAAACAAAACAATGAACAAGAATCTAATGACCATGAACAAGTGGAAAAAACTGAATTCGATTTTGATAATGCATTCGATGAAGATTCAACATTATCGCCCAATAAATCAACAAACCGTTTGTTGGGAAAACATTCCCGTTCTCAATCGATGATTACGAAAACCAAAACTACAACAAATCTAACAAAAGTTATGCAAAATATTAAAAAATATCAACTCAACGATTCATCTGATCAATCATCTGCCTGAAATATTTATTCCAATCAATAATGGCAAAATAAAAACCAAAATCGCTTTCAAGATGAATGAAAAAGAAAATTGACAAAAAACGGAAATGGATGTTTAGTATCCTAAGAATGAACGAAAAAAAGAAAGCGAAGCGTAACGAAAATTTCGAAACTGGACTGATCCAAATTCAATATTGGTCTATAGAGGGTGGTATTCATAAAGCTGCACTTCCATTCATTTCATCCAAAATATTGAAATGTAGTATGGATGTCGAAACAACGACTTAAAAAGTCAGCTATTATACTCAACGCGGTTCATATCACACACAGTCGGGTATCCCGTAAAAATAATTTTGGTAGACGGACTGTCTCTATTTTTATATCATTCATTCATTCATTCATTTACTCACACACTATACATCCATACATTGATGAATCATTTTCATGTTTTTTTCGATTCTTTTAAATGTTCGGGTTCATAATATTCTATATATAAATGAGTCTGCGTACGAATATATTTGTGTGTGTGTGTGTGTGGAATCATTGTACAGAATCATTGTCGAACTTGTAAAAAAAATGTATACATGAATTGAATGAAAAGGCAACAAACAAAACAACAAAATCAAAAAAAAAAAATACAAAATTCCTTTCATTCTGTTCCTCATTCATATTTAATTAAATTCAAAGAATTTTTGTCTCCCTTTTTTCTTTTACTCTTTGATTTTTTTCTTTTAAGAAGAATTCACAACATGCTGATTTGATATATACCCGAGAATAACAAACATATACAGATTTATTGTTGTTAGTTTGTTTGTTTCTTTCTTATTCTCCACATTTTTCATCCGGAATCGTTCGATTGGTTTGGTTGTTTTTCTTTCTCGTTAATTTCATTCAACCATAAACATCTATCATGTGAAAAATAAAATAAAATAAATTTATTTATTACATTCGAATGCCGCGCATCCAATTATAATAAAAAAAATTTTTGATACAAAATAATATTGTATTTCTATTTCGTTGAAAGTTTTTTTTGTTGTTGTATCCGTATCATCATCATCATCACATTGTGGTTGTTGATTCTAAAATGTGTTTTTGTGTTTTGTGTGTATTGTATACATCAATGTGTCAATATTTGATTTTGATTCTAAATTGGAAATTAAAATGTAATGTAATGTAATGTAATACTAAAATAATAAAAACGAATAAATAGTGATGATGATGATGATGTTCAATCATATAGCATCATCACTATTTTAAAACGAAACCCGAAAATGTATAAATAATAAAATAAAAAAAAATTCGATCGAATGATAATAGCATCAAACATATTCGACGACAAATATTGATGTTATCAATGATGATGATGATGATCAACATCGATAGAATCAACAAAATTCCAACTAGTTTCAATCTAACTAGAACAAAAAAAATAAATAAATTCAATTTTATTTTTGAATATTGAAGAAAAGAAATTCTAAATGACAAAAATATGCCAGGTTTGGTTATAGCATCACGTCGTTGGAACATTGGTTCCGATGATATAATTGTTCCAGCATCAATTTATCTAATTACACATCTATTGTGGTAAGATTTGTTTTTTGAAAAAAAGTAATTAAAAAAATAAATTATTAATCCAAATTTAAAAAAAAAGGATACTCATCTATATTTTTATATGTGCCAAAAATGGTACACCATTTCTTGATGACAATTGTCCATTGATAATAACATTACCAGTATTTGGACAATTTATATCATTATTTGGATTCATTATACTTGAAATCTTTATGATTAAAGTAAGTTTACGTGGTTCAATACTGAATACAAAAGCACGTTCATCATTGAATATATTGATCTACATTTGGTTTGGTAAGATTGTTATCATCATAATCATTTATCATGATAATTTATATTTTCTAAAATTACATTTAAATAAATTTTGTTTGTTTTGTTTTGTTTTTCTATTTTGTCATTAGCATTATTTTCAATTGAAATTCTATGGGAAATATATGGATTATTTATCCTATTTCATAATCAAATCGATAATAAAAATAATCTATGTGCCTCGACCATAGACATCGTGATCGGATTGAAAATATTTTTGTTATTGATTTGGATAACATTAATTCTGTTTGTATGGTGTGCATTCGATTATGCGGGTAAAAGCTGGGTGAAAATGAAACGTTTTCAAGAAAGTCTTAATAATCCCAATTCGAAATACAAATATCGACGTTCGAATAGTTTTCATCGTAATTGGCGTCATCGTGAAGCGTTAAGAAAATATCAACAATCTTGGCTAAATCGTTGTCGTTGGTTTTGTTGTGTTAAGGATCGAAGAGATAATTCTTTTACTGAAATTGCCAAATTATTATCAGAATTTTTTCGTGATCTTGATGTAGTACCATCGGATGTTGTAGCCGGATTATCATTGATTCGTGTTCAACAAAAATCACATAGACAAGAACGAATGCGAAACAATAATGAAGAGCCAAAAATTTTTCAATTTCTTTCGGGTGCTGCTATCACTGCCGAGACAAAATTTCTTGATCTTACACATGTTCTGGTCATACGCGAAGTGTACAATCTAATCCATTATCTTCATTATTCATTGGCCATTTATGGATGGCCAATGTATATGGTATCTAATCCACTATCACAATGGTTTCGTCTTTTGAAACATATAAAATGTTGTGGAAATCATAGTTCACGTTGGGCTAAATGTTCACGATGTTGTATTGGTGGACATTTAGATACCGATACAATGATCGATAGTGATGATCAACAATTTGTCAATATTCATCGTGAAAGTGATAATATTTTGGGCGATAATTGTTGTCTATGTAATCGTGCTGCCATTCGACAAACCTGTATTGATCATGATTATAAAATCATTTACATTACCTATTATGTTGCCATTGAAAAGCCACCATTTTTTGTTGCTGTCGATTATGACAAAATGTCCATTGTGATTAGTATTCGTGGTACATTGTCATTGTATGATGTAAGTATTTCATACTTTATTTTTCAATCAATTTTTTTTGTTTTGTTTCTAATTTTATTTTTGTTTCAAGGTTTTAACCGATTTGAATGCGGAATATGATCTGCTTCCGTTAACGCCATCTCGTGAAAATTGGTACGGTCATAAAGGAATGGTAGCAGCAGCAGCCTATATTCGTTCACGATTAATTGAAAAACATATAATCGAAATCGCTAATGAAGAATTAAAAATACGAAATCTAGCTACAAATAGTCATCATCAATATCCGATTATAATCGTTGGACATTCATTAGGTGCTGGTACGGCAGCAATTTTAGCCGTTCTTTTAAAAGAAATTTATACGAATGTTATTTGTTTTGCATTCGCACCACCTGGTGGCCTTTTTTCACATGATTTAGCCGAATATTCCAAAGATTTTGTCATATCAATTGTTTTGGGTAAAGATATTATACCAAGATTAGGTCTTCATCAAATGGAACGATTACGTTTTGATTTAATCAAAGCTATTAAAAATTGTGATATGAGTAAATGGCCAATTATTTATAAAAGTTTTCGTATAGGAAATAATGACATTAATCATGATGATTATGTTAAAAAATTTAAAATCAAATCGGAAAATAATATTCTATCACAAACATCAATATCCAATTGTGATATTGTTGAATGTAAACATAATAATGGTAATACATTGAATATTAGTCCAACAAATAGTCAACAACAACAACAACAACCGCATCAACATCATCTGTATCCAAAAGAACCAATCGAAAATATTTCCACACATCCGAATGATGAAAATATTCAACTAACTGTACATACACCATTATATCCACCGGGAAGTATTATTCATTTAGTCAAAGCTCATCCGAACAAATCCGAGTAAGTTTGACTTTTTTTTTTGTTTTAAATTTTCATTCAAATTTTGCCTATATGTAAATTTTTAATTCCAATATTTTCAATCAATTTCCTTTATTAAATTTATTTCATCATTTTGGATTATTCATTACATGGATTCATTTGGGGCAAAACTAAATTATTCCTATCACCGCTCATTCATTGTCCAAACAAACAAACTTTTTTTTTTAAAAAAAATAACAAAACACTCCCAACAGCTTTCTTTTTGAATCAAAATGGAGGTAATAATAATAATAATAATTGCTTTATATGTGCTTGATTCGAATTGAATTTATTGGTTATTGTCATTTGTTATCTCAATCTAGTGTCTAATATTTATCATTTTTTTTTGTATTTCTTTCTATTTCTGGATCATCATGGCAAAATAAAATATGTCAATTTAAAGGCGTATAATTGGCCAAAAACAATTCATCATACAAGCATTATGGGCTGGATACGAAGATTTTGATGAAATATTAATCTCACCAAGTATGATTCGTGATCATATGCCTGATAGAATACTTGAAGCATTAGAAAGTTTATTGATTAATACGGGCCCACCAAAACCAAAACGTAAATCTGATTCAAATGATGGTGGTGGTGGTGGTAATAGCAAAGAAGACAATGATAAAAATAAACGAAATAGTATCGATGATAGTTCTGATGATGATTCGAAATATTTTTCATCGATAACGGATACAAATGATCATATTTATCAACAACCTCATCATTATCATCATTCCAAAAAAATTATGTTGGAAACAAGTTTTGCATCAGCAATACCGGCAACATCAATGACAACTAGTGAACATCTTGCAGCTATACGAAAAAATCGACGTAAAAAATTTAGTAATGAAGAAGTTTATGATGAAGAACGTTTACGACGATTACGTAGTTTAATTTCAAAACGAAAAGCACCATTAGCAACACCTGAAACGGTTAGTCTAAGTGATGATCGTGATCAGAATCAAAAACCACCGCTAGTGATTGTTTCAACCATATCAAATAATGAATTTGACACAAAAAATCATACAACAACATCATCATCATCATCAGAATCAAATCAATATGAGCAAATTGAAGCAACGAACGAAAGCAAAACATCCCAATCAGAAATAATTCAAATTGAAATCAATACGGATGATGACAACAAACCAAATGTAAACATTCTTTAGCAAATGGTTTTGACAGACAGACAAATAGAAACAAAAAAAAGAAAATTACGAAAATTCAATCAATTTTTTGTCGCATTTCATTCAAGGCATTAGAAAGTGAAAACAAAACAATCATATTCGAATACTCGAAAGAAATTCTTATCATCATAATTTTTATTGATTTTTCATTCATTTATATTCATAAAAACCAAAGAAAAGAAAAAAGTAAACAAAAAAAAACTTACATATTTCCCTATACGAATTTTGTTTTCTTCTTTCATTTTTTTTTCTTTCTTGTCAAATAGATGCTCAGATTTATTAATTTATATTTTCATTAAATAATAATCATTATCAAACAGACACAAACATTTAAATACTCAGCTCTGTGATACATTTTTTTCCCCAATTCTTTTTTGTTGATTTTTTTTTTGTAATTCATTAATTAAATGCTGGTAATGATAATACAATTAATAATAAACAGATCAATAAATAAATTGAAAAAATATTGGATAATTTTGATCAGCTTCTGTATTTTGATTGAATGAATGAATGAATCTGGAAAAAAAAGGTTTGGTCAATATATGATTGCAAATGAATTTTGGTTGCCCATGGTTACGCGTTATGTTTTGGATCGTTGAAAATATTTCATCAAAACGATAGAATTCAACAACAACAACAACGAAAAAAATTCAATCTAAACATCATTTTTATCTTGAATTTGTGATTTAAGTAATTATATAAATGGCCGAATGGCTGAAGTGTTTTTGATTGGGCAAATTACCGGCGGTGAAAATTTCAATGAAAATTCGTTATTTTGTAAATGGAAATTGATTATTGGTAAGCATGAATGAATTAAGCGTGTATATATAATGATGAATCATTCAAATGACTAGGATCTGGTTGGAAAATTCTTGAAGGTATAGCTGAAGGACAAACACAAATTGACTGTTCCACTTCATCATCATCATTAAATAATTTTGTCTGCTGGTCACATCCAATCGATTTGCATCTAGTAACCAAAGGAATTCAAGGTAAATTCATTAAAATATATTTACATTTGGGTAATATTCATTTGATATCGATCAATCATTATTTTTGTTTTGTATTCAGGTTGGCCAAAATTATTGATTGAAGTTTGGCATAGAAATTCTTTCGAACAAACATCGTTAATCAGTTACGGTGTGGTAAACATTCCATCACAGCCGGGTTTTAAACAAATTCGTTGCCATACTTGGCGTCCAATTGGATCCATTATCGATCGATTGGCCAACATATTCAATGGTGAATCGTTACATTTGACCGAAGAATGGTTAATTTATTCGCATGAACAACGTTTTAGATTACATACAGAAACGATGGGCATCGTTTGTCTTGATCTGAATATTGTAATGAAAGATTTTGAAAAATTTGGTGTCGAAACTCATTAATCATCATCTAAATAACCGAAAAAAATAACAAACTTAGCAATATGAAAAAATTGTCCATCAAAGCAATTTTGAAATTTTCAATTTCATTCATCACAATTTATTTAATTTTGATCAATGAATCAATGTTATTTGCTTCCGAACCATCAAACAATACTTTTCATGAAAATTTGATTAATAATACAGATGATAAGACAAAATTGAACATAAATGATGAACAATTTATACGATATCGTAAAGAATTTGAAAAAATTCTATCCAAATGGCCAAACACAACAAAATATTGTGAATGTGATTCAATCATCGACTATTGTGACATAGATTGTTGTTGTGATCAAAATTGTACGGAAATTGATCGCTATTCATTTGGACAATGTCATCAATCGAAATCTGAATCCGACATAAGAATAACATCATTATTGATGTGTTCAGATTTTTTTAATAACAATGATCAAAAGCAATTATTTTATCAATCATCACCGTTATTATGTTTGGCCAAAGAAAATACTTACCAACAACAATCATATGTTTATCAGCCAATTATTACCGAAACAAATCAACTGGATCGATTAGAATCAAAACATCGATTTCGATTTGGTCAACAACTATTAGTTCATTCAAAATCCTTTTTCGATAATGATGATAATGATGATTTTGAACAACGAATAATAAAAAATATAACAAAAATTCAATCATTAGTTCAATATAAATCCGGATCTCCGTTAATTCGTTTCCGTTTTCGAAAACAAAATAATCAACAACAAAAACAAAATTCAACCATTTTAGAATATTACCATTGGAAATTGCCAATTTCAATCAATGGTTTAAACAACATTAATGGACAAATAGATATTTGTAGTGACCGATTTGAAACAGTCAAATATTTATATGATTACCAATCGATTTGTTTTCGTATTGTTGAAAAAAATTTATCCGAAACTTGTATTAGCAATCAATTTTTCGATTATCGAACCTATTTACAGCCAGATGTTTTCGCATATCAAACATTTACTGTATCGGAAAAATTGAACACTACTAGTTTAAATGGTAGCTATAAGTTCGTTCGAATGGAAACGGATGGAAAAAAATATGAACAACCATATTTTGATCCTGAAACAAAAATTTGCCATAATGTTGTTGAAAAAGTTGATTATTTAGTTTGGCATGAAGGTATACATGGTATAAGGCGAATACAAGTCTGGATCGGCCAAATCGATTTGTCTTCAATAGGCTTTTTGACGGCTGTTAATTTGCCATCTAGAAATTATATTCAACAAAAATTCAATGTAACATTCCGTTGGTTTGGAAGAAAATTGCCATCAATAACAGAAAAATCATTAACTAATGATGAACAAAGCGGGTCCACAACAAAAGGTTATAAATTTGGTCAGGAAATTAAATTCATAAGAATCGATCAAAACCATACTCATCGTCAAATTGAAAAACGAAATTTTCTTCTCGGTACTTATGCAAAAGGTTTATGTAATCATGAAGAAAAAATTGCCGATTCTATTCTAAAATTTGGCTGGAATCGTTATGACACATGTCGTTTATCATTGAATAAAATTATTAAAACAATGGCCGTGAATAATACCGATACAGTGACCGATCAACGACAACGGCCACAAACAACAACAACAAAATCAATGCTATGTACGGTCATCAAATCTATAGTTAGTAAATATTTACCATTTGTCGACTATAATAATGATGATAATGTTGATGATCAAAAAAATAATACTAGTTATTTATTTATCGGATCATATCCACCGATTCGATTGGATTTAATCCATAATAATACTGCTATAATCTGGATTCGGCCATTGTTACGAGATAAAAATTCTACTACTTTATTAATGAATAATAATAAAAATAAAAAAAGTCGGATTTATCAACAATATTATAAAAATCAATTACAATGTACTGAAGAAATTATTACTGAATTAACGTACAATTTTTTTATTAATCGTATCGATCAAATATATTATCAAATGAATGGTATGGAAATTGTACGGAAAAAATCTCGTTTAAATTATAAATGTACATCGAACAATAATACTATGGTAAATGATGATGATAATGATGATTGTAATCTATGGATCGATTTACGTACTTATGTAAACTTTATCGATTTAAGCGTACCATTTGTACCGAAATATGCACCAGCACCATCATTTCGTATTGAATTACCGGCAGATTTTTTCTATCCATTTACACCGGCCATTTCTTCACGATCATATCAATCATTTCAATTTCAATTTTATCATTTATCTTACATTATTATTATAATCATGATTGCTATCAATTTTTAATTGAAAATTTTATTTATTTATTTTTTCCTAGAAACATAAACATTCGAAATTATCCATTTTCATAAGATATTTTTTTTTTGTTCATTTCAAGTCAATTTTGGTAATTATCATGAACCATTTATAAATTGTCCATTAATAAAAAAGATTAAATTGGCTAAAAACTTTCTTTTTCTCTCTCTCTTTTTATCTCTTGTTTTCGCACTTGAATGAATTATGAATCTAAATCAAACATAGACAATAAACAAATGACCAAAACAAAACAAAACCCATAGAAACACATAGAAATAAAATGAAAAAACAATAATAAAAAAATCAGTGTATCTACGACATTGTACACTACTTATCACCATTTATTCGAAAGATTTATTTTATTCTAAATAATTTATCTAAAATCTAAATGGTCATCTCTTTCATCCCGATGATTCAACTGACAAACCAAAATGGCAAACCAGCAAACAAAATATATTCATGAGAACTATTGCCATTTTTGTTTTTTTTCTAGCTATTTTTCATAATTCCCGTGATTGTTCATCTGAATTATTCAGATCAGAACAAAAAAAAAATCACTGGAATATTCTTTTTTTTTTGGAAAAAAAACATATACCTTAGCAACGAATTAATTGCGTCAATATGAATTTATTAAATTCGATGATGATGATTATTATGATGATCACAGAATCCCAAGAATCTTTATTCGGAGGTTTTTTATTTCAAATACAAACATAATCATTTTGGCTATCAACATGTCAAGAAGTAATTTTACTACTTTGCTTATTTTTTTCCTATCATATCATTTGGTTTGGACAAAATCATCATCATCATCATCATGTAAGAATGGTAATGTTTGCATCAATGGTGATTGTATTGATAATGATGAAACAACAAACGACAGCCATTGTAAATGTAGGCCATGTTGGCGTGGATCACATTGCGATCAATTTGGTGAGAGAAATTTGAGATATTTTCCTTTTTTTTCAACAATTCCTCCCGAATTGCAGTTTATTTTTTTCTAAATATTTTTAAGAAATAAAATAAGATGAAAGAATCCCTTCAAAATAATGCAAATTTTTTTTTATAACTTTCAACTTGTCCAATCCATTTTCATGAAAACAGATGATCAACATGAGCCATATTTTTCAGAAAAAATAATCAATCTTTATCTGAAAAGTGAAACGATCCATCATTATAAACCAATATATAGGGCACATGCACATGATAATGATATCCATAATTCGGATTGTATCGGTTTAAATATTGAAAATTGTACATGTGCACAGATTCGTTATGAAATTGTTGAACAAGATGAACGAAAAATATTTCATATTAATTCAACAACGGGAGAAATTTTCATCAATAAACCAAAACTAATTGATAATCAACAAGAACAACATTACAAATTGATGATCATAGCAATAAATCCAAATTGGAATGATAAAACTATTGGGAATTATATGGATAAAAATTTTTATTCTACACGAACATTGACAATATTTGTTAATATTCAAAATCAATTGGACCGTATCAAACGTGCAGCTGAATCAGCCGATGATTCATCAGGAACATCGAATGATGATGAAGATGAATTAAATGGTCTTAAATTTGGTCTACGTACATTGGCTGGTGAAACAAATTCATTACAAGTGGGCAGTTCAATACATTATATGTTATTGATTGGATTACCGAAAGGTTCAAGCGATCTTGTATTGGAAATAAAAACATCAGATCAGAGTAGTAGTCGTACATCATTATCATTATATAATTTTTCAATGCCATTTGAAACAACCGACATACAATTCAATATACCTGAAGCGAAATTTTTCCTATCAAATAAAACGGCCAATGTCGTAAGTATTTTCGATTTATTAATTTAGTGGAATTGGAATCAAAAATTAGATATTCAATTTTTTGATCAAAATTATTTTCTTTCTTTTTTGTTTTGTTTTGTTTATTACTTATTATTGTCATTTTAGTATGATCGATTGACATTGGATTTTGGTACAATCAAAAACAATGGCCCAGAACGGAATGAAATGATCGTTTGTTTTTCGACTATATTATTTCGCAAACCTCGTAGAGCTAAGAAAAAACATTCAATCATTGTTGGTGTTGAACATTCTAAAGGAAATATGATATATGTAGCCGAATCGGAAATTACAACTGTTTCAGTTTCGTCTGTAAGTGTACTTAAAAATAAATGATAAAACTAAAACCCTCAAGCAAATCATAAAATAATGACAAATCTTATTTGGTTTGTTTTTTGTTTAACAGAAAGATGATCAGATTTTTTGTGACGTTGATATGGTTGAAGAGCCTGTAAAAATTCCTTTGGATAGTGCAGCCATTTTTCGATTCAATGCAAATTTTCAATTTCGTTCAGATCCTGTTCGTATTGAATTGAATAAAACATCTTATGAATATGAACCGGACAATCGGATATCATTGGGACTGATAACTGTTGCCAAGTTTGGACCGAATTATGTAGCCATGCCTAGCTCACCTCATCATTATAAAGGCTATCGAAATTTAAGTGCTTCATCGCAATCATATACATTTAGTACATTGAATATGAATTCAATCACCAACAATGGCGAAAAATCTCGATTATTTTTAAGAAATCCAAACAATATTATCAGTTTCAGTTTTCCAGTCTATGCATTGAATTTTGAAGAAAATATTGGAAGAAATATGTCATTTCAATTGGATGTTTTTGTCGGTAAACGTAGCTATTATACACGATTGATTAACATAACTATTATCGGTCGAAACAGTAACGAAAGATTACAATCATTTATAATTGGATCTGAAGCCAATTTCACGCAAACCGATTTGAGTAAAGGCAGTTTAACACAGCTAAAAATTCGATCCAAGTTCAGAGATTTCAAAGATGAAAATGTTTTTACCGATTATGCGATCACTATTGATGGAATGGCAACACCACAACTACCATTCATACCATGTTCAGCTCAATTAATTAATGAAGAAATGGGTATTAATATACCGTATATTAATCCGGCTCGTTTGAAACCAGAAAAAATCGAAAAAAATAAATTTGTTTTCCGTTTTGGTAGAATTAATTTTATCCGTTTAGTGAATCCATTTTTATTAGAGGATAATGATATGGTTGCTGAAATTACTTTTCGATTGCCGTTTGATAGTTCAGTCAAATCTGGTGGTAAGTTATTTTTTTTATAAAAAAAAACAAACTTAATATCTCCATTTAAATTTTAATTATCAATGCAATAGAATATTCAATAAAACCAGAACAGATTCAAGTAACTAGTGGATATGAAACAAAACCTGTAATAATTTCAAATAGTCAGCTAAAAATCTCGTCATCCGAGGATGTTGCAAATAATGAAACTTCATCATCATCATCATCTTCATCTTCATCATCATCGACATCATCATCATCGATAATCGAATTGTCAACAAATAGTTCAGTAAAATGGTCAGATTTGATTGTAGGAGGAGGAGCCGCAGTCGATATTGAATTAGAATTCGAACCAAATGCTGCATTTGAAGATTTTCGTATAGCAATCAATTCAGATATGGCAACAGCTGTTGATAGTTTACCTGATTTGAAAATCTGTCGGTTTGCGGTTATACGAGTGGCTGAAACAATGCCTTGCACTTGTGTAGAACGAGATACAATCAATGAAAAACAAATTGTTTATGGCTATAGCAATGAAAAATTGACAAAAGAAAAAAATAAAACAAATATTCGGCCATATGATCGAGCAGCAATCGATTTCGGATCAATTTCAGTTGTAAGCGGTTCGAAAATAAAGCAAAAAATTTTGACAAATTTCGTCATTATGATTTCCGATTCTGGAACAAATAATGGCAATAGTGAACAACAACAGCTTCAGTCACCAAAGCAATATCCAATTCGAGTTGACATAATTTCAAATTCGGCCTCAGACAATCAAGATAACATTATCAAATCAGAGCAAATAAATTTGAACATTTCAGAATTATTACCCGAACCGATTGCAGCCGATATGTCAGTCGATTTGGAAGCCGAATTATTCAACGAAACCGATTCATTTATTTTACCCGGCTTTACGACAAACATTCTCATTCGTACATTGACACGACCAAATACAATGGGACCATTACGAATTGAAATTGACGGTGATGAAAATGATCCAAATTCTGCCATCTCAGTATGTGGCCTATGGATTCATAGAATCGGATATAATCTACCCTGTGTTGAACCAAATCAAAAAGCTGAATATGCATACGAAACATTTGGGCTTAATAAACGGGCTATACTTCAATTGGATATGATAACTAATTTTGGTAATCATCATAGAAAATCTGAACGCGATGAACATAATGATAATAGTATCGAATTTATGGCTATGATTAGAATGTTAGATCAAGCAGAGAATAGTAATCAAACTATACGTATTAAAGTCGTTTATGGCCATAAAGATATTACCGTTACTAAACATTTAATTGTACCGGTGGGACAGAAACCGAATGCAAATGATGATCATTCATTAGAAATCAGTCGACGAAAATCGTCCGAACCTCGTAAAGTGACCCTCAAACCTTATGGTAACAATAAATTGGTACATCATGCACGACCAAAGCTTTTCTTTTTCGATATTGAACTTGAACGTAATCATCAAAGTAAATTGACAATTGCTATGGATCGATCGAATTCCTATAAAATGTGTAATGCTGCATTTATTAAAGTAGGCCGAAATTATCCCTGCTATTCACCATTATCGTTGAATGTTCAACCCAATCAATTTGAATTGGGAATGATTTGCCATACAGATTTAAAGTATCAACAACAACAAAACCATAATAATTCAGTTGGAAATGATGATGAAAATAATGATAATTTGCTGAGGTTAGCGTTTGCAATTCGTCCAACAGAATCGTTTCCCGATTCATTACCATTTATTGTGTCTGGAACTGTTCTTTATGGTTATCAACAACGTCCAATGGAAACGAAAAACGAATTAACTCTTACAGTTGTTTCTAATAAAGCAAAAAGTAATTCTATTTCTAAAATTTCCGATCATTTTCCAATAAATGAAGGTGCTAGAGTGGTACCAGCTAAATGGAATAATCGTCCTGAAGGTATTGGTTTCAAAATTCGACAACGAAAATGGATAACTTTTAGAATTCGTATTCCATTGTATTCTACTGGAAAATTATCAGCAACTATTCGTGGTCAAACAGATGAAAATCGTGCCTATATTGTACTTTATGATTTGCGATTAATTAGTGGTGGTGCTAATATTCCTTGTCCATTGGATAATGCACCAAAAATTCACTTAAATTCTACCGTTAATAGTAATCAAACAAATTTGATCAATGCTGATCTTGGTTGGTTTGCCAATTTTGGTTACACTCATTATATTGATTTAAACAATAATAATAACAACAATAATAATAATAATAGTAATAGTGAAAAAGATGTTGATCAAAATCAAAATACTGACAGCAACAACAACAACAATAATAATGACATCATAAACATGACAAATAGCGTTGCTAACGATAATGATCAAGAACATGATAATGCTGATGATGATGATGCCGATGTTTTAACGATCGAAGTATTGGCTGAATTAACTGATCATCCTTCATTAACGGAGAATGATGTCTATCGATTGGAATTTGAAGCTCATTATAGTAATTTAACTGATACGATCACCACTCGTACTGAGGCCAAAATTCGATTACTATCAGAAGGCGACGGACCTAATCCAAAATTAGATGTCAATATTCGTTATAAAAAACGAATGCCTGTTTTAGATCGAAATGAAACATTTACAGTGATGGCAACCATTCGACATTTACCAGATTCAAATGCCGAACCATCGAATCCAGTGTTGCGCATATTCACACCGGATTTTGTTGAAATAAGCAATATCAATTGGGCCAATACAAAACGATTGCCAAAATTAAAACGATTAGCCGATGGATCTACAGATATTTTGGTAAAAATGATTAGATTACCAAAAAACGAAAAAATAAGCTAACTAATTTTTCCATTTCCCTCTAGTTTCCATGGATTCTATTTAATGAACAATTCACTGTCAATCTTACCATACAAATTGATCCACGTAATATACGTGGTTATGGCCGTGAAGAGGTTTCAATAATAACACCATATCGTATGTTATGTCAACATTTTCGTTTATCAAGTGATACAAAATTTCCTTGCAGCGAAATGAAGCATATGAATTATCGAACACATAGTACTGGTAAGTGTGTTTATATTCTCTTCAAAAGAGAATGAAAAAAAAATCTTGTAGAAACTAAAAAGAAAAACAATTGAAAATTATTTTGCCAATCAAGAAGAAACCCAAAGACACATTGTAACTTAATTATAAAACATTTATTTGTATTCGGTCACATATTTATTTATTCCTAATCATATTTCTTTGTTTAAATTCAATGATAATATTGAATTTATAGAATGTAATAAACCATTAGGAATGTCAGATGGCCATATACATGATGATCAAATAACAGCATCATCGGCTATTTCACAACGTTTTGCTCCAAAATTTTCACGACCAAATTTATCATCATCATTTTGGTCACCAGCATGGCGTAATTGGCGTCATGGACATCATAATCAAGCTAATGAACAACATTATATTCAAATAGATTTTCAACAAAAAACACGTCTTGTACGGATAGAATTTAAATCGATCAAAAATCAACGTAATATTCATATGTATCATTTGGAATATAGTTTTGATGGTAAAGTTTGGTATCTGGGATCAAATTCAACCAAAATTATTTATAACAATGTTGGTAATGATGAAAATATTAAAGCAATTGGTGAATCATGGTTAGAAAAGCCGATCGAAGCTCGTTTGATTCGTTTAATTATAGATAGTGTTTCAACTATAACAACAAAACCAACAAAAACAGCTACAATGAAAATGAAACAGAAAATCGATTTCAAGGACAATGTTCATAATCAATATCTGGCTGTCAAATTTGAACTATATGGTTGTTATCTAAAAGAATTGGAATCATCAACAAGACCAGCATCGAATGAATGTAAGTTAGTTTTTCGGTTTCTTAATATTTTTTTTTTTTGAGATTTTCTCGGAATTCTGTGAATGAGAATGACAATATTTCATATTGGATAGAATTTGAAACCGACTTATCTTTCTATATTTCATTCTTGAACATATTATTTACGATTTTTTTCCTTTTTTTTCACCCTGATCATCATCATCATCATGATTTTATTGGTAGCACTCAAATTTCAAACTCATTATACGGATGATACTTCAAAAAAGAATCGTCTTATTTCGATTGATCCATATACGAATGTTATTTATTTTTGTGATGCTACTTCAAATATCAAGTAAGTTCTTTATTTTTAACTATAGTATGATTGAATTACAGTATGGTAAAGATGATTAATCTGGTAGATTTAATGTTTTGTGATTCGGAAGATGTTTTTTTTCTGGTTAGGAGAAAGAAAAGAATTTAAATAAACCATTTTTTCTTTTTTTCCTTTTCTTTAACAAATCAGCAATTTTATGTGCTATTTTTCGGATTCTGGTGGTAATTCCTGGCATATTGTCGGTAGATCAATCGATTCATTTGAAGGATTTGAATTGGCATCAGGAAAATTTTTTGCAATCGATTATGAACGTCCTGCATATTTTTGGTCATCTGATGGTGTAACATGGATACCGATTGATTATCAAAATTTTAATAAAACAGTTGAACATCCAAAATTTCAACGAAAAATGACTATACCACGTTTTGCTTTTGATGATCTGAACAAAATGAATGTTCGTATTGGCCATTGGAGAGGTAATTATATTTTATCGGTTTTTTCATCTTTTTTCTCGATTTTTAACTGTTTTTTTTTGAAAAATCAACTTATTCAATAGCCAATTATCAAGGACTAAATTATGAAGATAATCAATATCCAAAAGCATTATGGAATAAATGTTGTGGTCTTGAATAATAAAGAAAATCATCAACAATCATCACCCATTCTCTCAAAAACACCTCTCTCATCTTTGCAATTTTTTCATTTGAACCAAAACAAATTTCAACCAGAAACATTAACAAACATTAGAATAGCTTAAAAACCATTATTTTCAACAACAGAAACAAAAAAAAATTTATTTTACTATCAATTTCATTCAAATTATTGTTATTGTTATGATCGTTTCAAAAAAAATTTAATTAAATTAATTACCAATTTTTGTCAAATACATTTTTTTTAATTGAATTGCGAGCAGCCAAGTGATAAGCAAGCGATTCTCTAAATCAAACAAAAGCATTGACAAAAAAAATTCGGATCCTATAATGATGATGACGATGATGGTAATAATCTTTAATCAAGATAAATAAAACAATTGAATTCAAATTGAATTTGTTTGTTTTGTTGAAAAGATTTTCATCATACAAATTTATTCAAACAAAACATGTGATGTTGAACAAAATGCCGATAAAGAATAGCCAATATATTCTTTTTTTTTTGTTGCAAGCAATGTTATCATCAATATCCAAATAGAAGAATAAAATTCAATTTCAATGATTATTTCATTTACTAAAAAAACAATATATTTTGTGAATCTATTATTCTATTCATTGTTTGTTGGATTTATTTATTATCATCGTCATCATCATCAAGAACCGAACAAAACAAAAAAAAATCTAATCCCATTATCTTGTTTATATGATCCAAGTAGTGGTAGTTGTTGTTGTTTGAATAATAAATTCATTGTTTCGTTGTTTTTGTAGCGTTGCAAAGAATCTTTTCAATTTTTTGCCTGATTATTTGCTTAGTTTTTTGCTTAATTTTTGTTCTCATGATGAAGATTTTGCATTTTTTTTGCTCATCGTTCTTGCACTTGTTCATGGATCATCTTTTTTTTCATTTATTAAAAAGAATTTGTTTGTCTAGAACAGCCTTTCTCAACCAGTGTGCCGCGGCACACTTTTTCCATAGGCGATAATGTTAAAAAATCGAAGGTTGAGAAAGACTGGTCTAGAATCTTATATTTTTGAGTAATTTAGTAGTAGTCTACACTTTTTTTATTTAGATGTAGAATAAAGAAGCGCAACATTCCAATTTCAATCAAATTAAAACAATTTAGTTTTAACAAATCTAGAATATTTTTCCCCATATGTCTCACAGTGAAAACATATCTTGCATTAATTAATTAATTTTCTGTTTGTCTACATTCTTCCTGCCGGTTACCTATTCACAAATAACGAAACAAAAACCAGAAAACGACCAGATTCTAATTATCAATGGGAATTTTTTTTTTGATATTCATTGTGAATATAATAATAAGGTGACCAAAAAGAAAAAATCTCATTTTCAAAACAAAAGAATCATTTATTTGTAATCATCATCATACTGTAAATAATTTAACACGCCGAGCTCCACTTCACCTTACGATCGTGTTTACCGATTTGATTTTAAATATTTTTCATATTTGCATTTGTAATTTTCTGTTGATGATAATGCTAAAGCACCAAAAAAATGGTTAGTGGTAGGTGTTTTATTTGAAAAAATTTTATTTGAATTTTTTATTATACAAATAATGAAAGATTTAATTTTGAATGAATACAATCAACATCGTTTTTGGGCGAATATTTTGTTCATCGGTTTTCATGTGTTTGTGTTTGTGTGTATTTTGTAAGCAAAATGAAAGAAGAAAAAATGAAACTTTCAAAGAAAAAACTTTAGAAAAAGGATGTTATATGTACACAATGGGTAAGAGAGGAAGAAGAATAAGAATATTTTATAGGGAAAATGAAAAAAAATGACAAAACAATACAATATGAAGAGAGAGAAAGAGATGTGAAAACAGAAAGAAAAAGATTCACAAAGACCATTTCACAAATCATTCATCCTTTCTTTCACGATAATCAGAATAATGATGTTGATAGAAAAGTTTTCCGAAATTAAGATTGAAAGGAAAAGTTCCAGAAATGAAATTCTTTCGTTTTTTTCTGGAATTTCGTCACACAGAGATGACAATGTGTTATGTAACAACTTTTCAAATTCATGACTTTGAATGATGAATAGTAAGAAGAAAATAAAAATTGAAATACACTAAATATTTACAAGTGAAAATGTTATTCACAATGAAATGATAAAAAAAAGCTAAGAAGAAATTCCAAATTCCAAACGCGTATTGCATCGTATTTTGTTTTGATCAATTTTCTTAGTGAAAAAAAATTATCAAAGGATGCAAACACTTTGTTCTTTGCGTTTTTTGTTGTTTTGTTTTGTTTCTCTTCTACAAATCACTCATTCACTTTTGTTTGAATTGATTCGAAACAAAACAACAACAAAAAAAAAATCAAAGACAAAAGTCGATTAAACATTCGAAAAGTGTGGAAAAAAAATTCCAAGAATCATTCACACTCAAAAGCAATGAGCCGAAGAACACCTTAAAATGATGAAAAAAATGATAATAACAACAAAACAACAAACGAATTTCGACAAGATGATTCGGTTCGATGCAAACTATAGTTTGTTAGTTCCGATAATAATAATACTAACAACGACAACAAATCTATTTCTGGTCGATAGAAAAATCTTTTTTTTTAGTATTTCAACATCCACACACACACACAATTACACATGCAGTAAAAATAAGCAAATTTCCTGGAAAACAAATCTTATCAAACAAGAAAAAAACAAAAGAAAAAGAAAATCTTGTTCATTTGCCCCCTCTTCCCCACACGGAATAAAAGAATTTGAATGAAAATTATTATCATCTTTTGTAGACCACCACAACAACACAGAATAAATCACAATCATTCGGAAGTCTTGTGTTTCATTTTCTTCTCCTCTCTCTTCTCTTCATTTATTCATTCATTCATATCGATAAGAATCGATAATATTTGTTCAATAATGTATGTAATGTTAAGCAAAAATTTGTTTCATTTGATTCTTGGCCAACAAACAAAACAAAACAAAACAAAAAAAAATTATATACCGTATCCATATATCCGGATCGATGAAGCATTTCATTTCATTTTGTTGTTGTTGTTGTCTGTTTGCTATGTGTGTGTGTATATTTTTTTGCATGAATGAATCGCAGACTAGAATTTTACCGAAGGTACTTCAAGAAATTGTTTAAATTTTACCAATGTTGTTGTTGTTGTTGAATGTGATGATGATGATTTGGATGATTGTTGTTCATTGTTACTATGCATTGCAATATTAACATCATCATTGTTTTGATTTATATCCGTATTAGTATTAATCGTATTATTATGTTGATCAATATTTTTTTCAATTCCTGTTGTTGTTGACATTGAATCGGATATTGATTCATTTTCTTGACAATCCAAACGAAATTGTAAAATTGATGATGGTGTTCGTGGTGGTGTTGGTTCACCTAAAATAGCTTTACCTGTTGTTGGTGATATTATAATTGGATCAAATGAATGTATTGATTTCATTGATGAATGATTACGTAAATGTTGTGTAGGATGATCAATATTTGTAAAACTTGATGGCCGACGATATTGATAATTATTTTGAAATGATGGTATACGATTTAGTTGATATGTTGAACCACCACCACTAACTGGTCCAACAATATTCATATAATTATATGTTATTTCGGGCATTGATGGTCGCCAACAAGGACAACAATTACCAAATGTATCTTTAAATGCTAAACGAAATTTTCTTGACATTAATTGATATAATATTGGATTTATTGTTGCTGATAAATAATAGGTAATACCCGAAATATGTGTTAATAATACATAAACATAATGTATTGTTGATGATTGTATTTTATAACGATGCATCGATGTAGCTAATACACGTTGAGCATGAAATGGTGAATAACAAAAAAAGAAGGCTATTACAACGGCCACTATAATTTTATCCAATATATATAATATTATATAATTAATATAATAATGATACACATTAGATAATAATGGAAACAAAACAAATATGATGTGATAAGTGGATAATGATAAATATTACAATGGAAATTGATGAGTGTTTGAATGAGGGAAAAAAAGAGATAAAGAAAAAATGAATGATTAATTTTCAGAAAAAAAGAAAAGGAATCAGAATAGAAATGAAGCACTAAGCAGTAAGAAAATTCTTTGAACTAATGAAAAAATCAAAACCAAAAGAAATGGTTGAAAAGCTAATGATTTCATTTGAAATGTTTATTTGGTTTTTTTTCTGGAAAAAAACAAACCTAACATCCGTATGACTGATCTTCTTGAGGCAATCTGTTTCTGATAAGAACTTGAAATAGAATTATTACGTTGATATAGAATACTTGATCGATGATTTGTTGTTACTGTTGTCGTCGATGATTGTTGATTTTGTAGATTTTGATTCGAATGATGATGATGGCTATTCATATTATTATTCATATCTTTTTGATTCGAATTCGAATAATTCATAGTTGATAATTCACGTGCTGATGATGATGGTTTTAATGTTGATGTTGTTGCCGTTGCCGTCGTTGTCGTAGTTGTCGTTAATGCATTCGATGTTAATAATTGATTATTTGGATGATCATTTTTTGTAATTGTATAATGTTGCTGTTGATTATTATTATTATTTTGTTGTTGTTGTTGTTGTTGATAATGTTCACGATTTATAGTCAATATAATACTTTGATGTTGTTGTGAACTTCTACGAAGATTAATACCAATCAATACATATAATATGGTAATCAATGTAATTGGTACAAGAAAAAATACGATTGCTGATGTTTCAAAACCATATTGCATATAAATAACTTTCATACCACATTGTCGAGATATGTTTCGTAATGTTGATGTTTTATTGATCTTCAGAACATGAGGATTTTTTTCGTTGTTGTTGTTAATGTTTTTCGCCAATATACACACACACATTACAAACAAGGTGATCATGAAAAAATAATGAGAAAAGAAAAAAAAATCAATTAAAAATCAATAAAAAATCATTATTCATAAGTGGGTGTCTGTGTTTGTGTATGGGTATGTTTACTTTATGATTGAAATTCAATTAGCTAAATAGAGAAACTCAAAACAAATGGTACATTATCATCATCATGAATCTTACGCAAAAAAACTTGATGAAACTGTAAACAAAAAATCCGAAAGAAAAAACGAAAATAAATTCTGTGATTTTTTTTTTGTTTTTATTTCCGCCTTAAATAAAAACTTGAGTGATTGACTATTTTTTTTCTTATCTATTTTTATATGTTGTAATTCATTCGTGAACATTTTTGAAAAAGCAAACGAAAAAAAAGAAAAAGATTGTCAATCTAATTGATAATTGACCTAAAGTGGAAGAAAAAAAACTTTTTCATACAAACTTTGAATAGAATTTCAAATGAATATAGAAATCATCAAGAAAGCTAAAAATACAGTACATTTTCCTATAGGAAGTAAAAAAAGATAGACAAGAATGATAAAACAACAACAACAAGTAACAAAAAATGACAAATTTTCATCCACATCATAAAGAGAATCACGAAAATGGCCAGAAGAGAAAAAAACCAAAACCAAATAGAAAATGCCGGTCAATGGGAATGGGTTTTTATTTCTTTTCTCGATACGGTTCTGCATCACTATTTTTTTTTTGCTGATGAAATTGAATTGAAATGAAACAAAACAAAACAAAAAAAATAAAACAATATGACATTCAATTTGAAACAGAGAAACAAGAATGAATGAAGAAAAACATCATCAAGAATAATAAAATAATTTTTTTTTCTTTGGTTACAATTAATTATTGGATCACACAGAGAATCGGAATAGAATCGGAATGGAATAAAAATCGAAACAAAACTCAGAAATAAAAGAAGAACCATCTATCCATTACATTATCATCATAATCATAATGATGGAAATGAAGAAACAAATGAAAATATTTCATTTTTTTCTGGTAAAAAAAAGAAAAAGAATTTCTCATTTGTTTGTTTGGGTTGGTTCTGTTATGTTGTTTTTTTTTCATTAATTCTGCTGCTTTCAATTCTTATTTTTTTTCCGTAGCCTACTTGATTTGAATTGAATATAAACGAACATTTTTTTGAAAGTCATGTGCTCGAAAAAATAATGAAGAAAATTAGCATAAAAAAATAACAACAAAAAATGATCCAAATGGATATTCATATTTTAATTTTTGCCCATAGAGAATTTCAATTTGAAATGATTGTTTATTGTAAAAATAATAATGAAAATGAAAATAATAATCATACCATGAAAATGATACCAAATTGCCAGGCTACAGGCAAGGCACAAATAGCACTAACAGCCCATATCACCAATATTGTTTTAATAGCTCGTGGTAATTGTGACATTGTATGTGATTTTAATGGATGACAAATAGCAACATAACGTTCAACAGTAAATGCTGTTATTGTTAATATTGATGCATTTGTTGATGTTTCCGATGATAGACCGCGTACAACACAAAAAAATTCACCAAAAATATATGGATATTTTTGCCATAATAAAAATAATTCTTGTGGTAAGCCAAGTATTAATAATAATAGATCAGAAATAGCCAATGAAAATAGATAAAAATTTGTTGCCGTATGCATATAACGATTATGTGCAATTACAATACAAGTACAAACATTACCAATTGTACCGGTTGTTAATAAAACAATATATAATATTGACATTGGTACAACAGTACCTAATGGATCACGAACTGGTCCCAATAATAATTCCAATAATTCATGATCAGTTTCATTCATTTTATTTATATTATAATTATAATTATTATTATCATTATTATCATTGTTATAATAAATATTATTATTTGTAATTGTATCCAATTCTGATGTTGTTGTTGTTGTAGTCGACATAGTATGTATCGAATCTGAATGATGATGATGATGATGATTATGATGATGTTGTTGTTGTTGTTGTTGATGATGATGTTGATGATGATGATGATTTGTATGATTCATTTTCTACATTAAAATTATTAGCTAATTTGATTAATAAAAAATTAATCAAAAAAAACAATGAAACAACAACAGAATTAAGATTTATTTTTTAGAATAACAAACCTGATGTAGAAATAGTTCGGTAAAAAAAACCGATTTTGAAACGTTATCGATGATGATAGCTGTAAATTCAAATTGATGGCGACCAGTGAAGAGAAAAGATTTACTGCAAAAAAAAAACAAAGTAGTAAATAAATAAATAAAAACTGTTATGAAATTCTATTACCATCAAACGATAAGTAATGCATGGATGATGATAATAAACATAAAACTTTTATCTTTCTAAATTTTTTTTTTATACAAATGATTTCATTAGACGAAAATTGATGTTTATTTACAACAATCAACCAGTGTGTTAATGTTGTTGTTGTTGTTGTTGTTTATCGAAATATTTCGAAATAATTCGATAAACAACAATGATAAACAGAATTTATGAATCTAGTTTGGTAATTTATTTATTAAATAAATAAATATAGTGAACAGAATAGTCGAAATAAACAAAGTTAAAAATTCTGACAAGATTTATTCCTCATCATAGATCTAATTTAAAAGTTTTAGTTGTTTTTATACACCAAAAAAAAAATGATATTATCATTTTTCTTCTCATTTCATCAACATTACAGTTTTCACAGATATAATTCTATTACTATGAATCATGAATGAAGCAAACAACAAATGAAAAAAAAACATCCGTTTGGTCTAGTTATTTCCGGATTCATAATAAAATTTTATGATCATATCAAACAACAATCTGAAAAAGGTCTGTTCTATTTTTAGCAATCAAGATAATAGATATATTTGTAAATTTGTGATGTTTCAGTGAGAAAAAAAATGTAAATTTTCATATACAAATGCGGGAATGTTTTCTTCTTCGTTTTATTTTTTTTGTCACAAAAAAACAAAATTTCTACTTTTTTCCTTTGAATATTCTTTCTTCTTCTTCCGACAAACATCAATTGATTGATTGCTATTATTATCATTATTGATTATTGAAATTCAATAACAATTTCCTAACAAACAAACCAAACATACAAAAAAAAAACAAACATTGATTTCGATTGATTGACATTGTCGTCACAAATATTATTTACGATCTACGTATATATTGATAGTGTCAAAACAGAAAAACAAACAAACCGAAAAAAAATGATAAAGTTGAACGGAAATTCGTGATTTAGCAGAAGAAAAATTTTACATAAAAAAAACTTTCCGAAAACTATTTTCACCTTTTTTTCGTGTTGAATAAAAGATAAAGAAAAAAAACCGCAAAATCTAAGCGCTTTTCACATAACATAACTATTTGATATTGTCACATCTGATTTATATTTACTTTTTCCATCTTATTTGATTGGATTTATTTTTTTTCAAAAAAAATCTCATCATTAAAATGGAATCATAATTTTTTAGAAAAACTTAATTTCAATTCAATTAAAAAAACAACACTTACATTGAAACATTTGATTTTGAAAGAAAATACCAAAAGAATTCAAGTTTTTCTTCGTAAAAATAAATTGTTAATCACCGAATTATGAAAACAAACAATAGATGAATATTCTGAATCACTTAACAAACACACACGAACGAACAAACGAACGAACGAATCATTTTTTGTCAACGCGCGAAAAAATGAAAATTCGTTTCGAATATGATCACGTTCATAGGGCACCACCACCAACAACAACGCAAACACACTAAAACTGAACTATTTGGTTTTTTCATTAAACGAGAATTTTTTTCTTCTTCTTCGTTTTCAAATAAATGATTGGCATACTTGTGTGTAGCGCATATTCTTTCAATTATTATTATTATATAGACGGATATTCTGGTATGTAGCAATTTTGTGTGATTTTTCGTTTTTCACTTTGAAATTCCACAATATATTCTTTAGCTAGTAGCATTTAAAAAAGCTAAATATCAAAGAGAGTGAGTAAGAGAGAGAGAGAATATATTGAAAGAATTTAAAGAGAGAGAGAGAAAAAAAAACAAATAATAATAATCGAAGTAAGAAGTAGCAAGTAAATTCCGAATACAGTGAATTGATTTTTTTTTTTTGAACGCCAACAATCAGAGAACCCGCCTACAGATACTAATATTACTGTTACTATTGATGGTGGTAATAAAATATATTTTTCCCCCCATTACCCACACCAAAAAAAACATCATCATAACTTAGATGGAAAGCAAAGAATTTCAATTTCTTGTCATCGACGACAATGTATTTGGTTGCCTTCATTTAGAGAAAGAAGAATCAATTGATAAATCGTTTTTCTCTTCTCTCTCTTCAATTTCTATCATTCATTCGAGATGGTTTTTGCTGGTTGGGGGTAAAAAAAAGCTTGCCAAATCAATTCATCTAAGAAGCCAACAGCAAAAACAAAATATTTTTAGAATATTTTTCTCAAAAAAAAAAACGAAAATAAATATTAAAATTTTAAATGATTTTCATTTTTATTTCTCCTCGTTCTCTCTCTCTAACTTTTCAATTCTAAGATTCTATTGATCATTAGTATCATTTGCAGAAAACAAAAATCAAATGGAATTAGATCAATGGATTTAGTTTACAACAACAACAACAAAAAGTAAGATAAATGAAAAAAAGGAATCTTTTTGGCCGAAAAACAATATGAATAGATTTGATTTCTATTTTGGATGTTTTTTGCAAAAACATTTCCACCCACATTGTGAGAGGGAGTGAGAGAGAGAATAAAATTCCAATTATTTTTTTCGAAAGAAAATTGTTATTAATGTTTGTCTTGTTTGTTTGTTTGTCGATTTGTTTCCAATCATCATTATCATCATTTGTTTCATTTTTCTTTTTGAAACAAATCTATCGATGTTTTTTTTTCTTTTATTGTTTTTGGAATCTGTACATTCTGTTGTCTATTCTCATTATCGAAAATAACAAACGAAACAAAACAAAACAAAACAAAATATGGTCAATATCCAGTTGTAATTATTCTAATTGATCGATAATCACATATGAATGTTAAATAAGCATGGAAAAATGATAATAAACTTAAGAATTTTTCTTTTCTTTTTCTTTTTTTTTCGTTTGTTTCCGAATTCCACATTTCACATTATCCGAATCAGAATGATGATGATAATCATTTTTGGGATGGTTTTTTTTTGATTTACTAGAAACAACAACAACAACGACGAGAAGAAATTCTTGATTTTAATTTCAAAAATTTTTTTGTTTAAAGTTTTTTTGATTAAAATTATGTCATTCTCATATCATAATAATGATGATGATGATGATGACAAGAACAATGACATCATTTTCATCTTTTTTTTTCATTATCGAAAATGATTAAAGTCTGTCTCTTAAATTATCATATAACTTTGATGAAAAAAATTGAAAAATTTGTCAACATCATTCATTCATTTTTTTTTCGTTGTTGAAACAATAACGATAACAGCAATTTTACAATGAATTTATAATACATACAGAGATTACATTCTGCCAAAACAAAATGAAACAAAAGAATTTTTCTTCTTTCTTTTTTTTTGCTGGCTGTTAAATAGTTTTAGTAACAGATATTCTGTAGCACGAAATGATCTTTGAAAATATGGAAAAAATAAACGATGGAAAAGTCAGGAGATTGGATTTTGCATATTATCGATTTTTTTTCTCGTTTTTGTTGTTGAAATTCTTTCACATCAGGCGTCAAAAGATCAATTTCATTGATGATGAGTGCCAAAAGAAAAAGAGATTTATAAAAAAAAAATTCAAAATTAAAATTTTTATCGACCAATAAAAAAATTATTAAATGAATACCAAAAACACTGAAAAAGAAAACGTTTTATGTTGCCAGTTAAGTTGAAATATTAGTTACAATGTTGACCAATATACCGATAAATTGTATCAAAAAAAAAATATCAGAAAAACCAAGATTTATTTTTCGGATAACCAGAAAACGAAGGAAAACCAAGGGAAACATTCATATGTAGGCCAAAGATGAAAGAAGAGAGATGGAAATAACAAATGGAATATCAAAAAAAAAACTGAAAATAATGGTCCATTAGTTTTGGACATTTAAGTCACAAACTTGGCAAACAAACAAAAATAAAAATAAAAATATCGTTTCGTTTCTTTCGTCTTCAATATTATACAAAGTTATACATATTATATTGTAATTTGTGCATCATCAACATCTCGATTTTGTTTGTTGGTTGGTTGGTTGGTTGGCTGGTGTTTACTCGTGATATGATATCATTGATACAATATAGTAAGTGATAGTGAAAAAAGGAAATAAATATGAAATGAACGAAAAATACATAATGATATTGTAAAATATGAAATTCTGAAATAGAAAAGAATCTATGGTGGTTGTCGATTATCGGTTTTTTTTTCATCGTTAACGGCCAAAAAATGGTTTATTTTGGTCGTTTGTTGTAATACGATCCTGACACAGCCTTGAAGTAAATATTACCGCACCAACAACAACAAAAACAGAATCGAAAATCAGCAGAAAAAAAAATTAGTCAAAGTATTCAATATTCTGTTGGTGTGTAAATAGCTGAATAATTTTTAAAATTATATTCAGTGATTTCGTTTAGCCGGTTTCATTTTTATTCATTGTGTGTTTTCTACTGACGGGGAATAATGAGAAAAATATTGAAAAAATAAATTCAAAGTTTAAAAGTCAACAACAGTTACACGTTTTTTCATCTTATGATATTTAAATTTTATTTGACATCAATTTTTCCAGCAGAAAAAAAACAAAATATTCGATAATGATCTTGGTGGTGGAGGGTGGTTAGTGATGGAGAAAATTTTATCTACGAACGAAAAAACAAAAAAAAAAAATGATAAATGGCCATCATACACACACACAAACATTGGTGTTTAAAGAATCATTTGATTCGTAGTAGAAAGAATGCGAAAAACAAAAACTTAAAATGTTTCGTCAAGAAACCAAAAAAACAAAACAAAATAAAAGTAAACTTTTTTTCTTCACTGAATATG